ACCTGTAGCCTGTCATCAAAATTGTCAAGCCTGTTTCAAAGGGTGGGGCAGGGGGGTTCTAACTAGCTCCCAAAAGATACTGGGATATTTTCTCCCAGCTTCCCAGAGAGCTCTGGGAGCATTTAGGATCAGCTGCAAACTAATGGTGAATCACTGGGTGTGTAACACGGAACAAAGAACTATCAAAGAAAACGTCTCTTCTCTAGGTTCTGGGATGTGTCCGATACCAACATCACAATGATGGAAAGCTGTGGAGTCAAACAGCCCTGACTTTGAGCTTACTGTGTGACCCTACAGGTTTTTCAACCTCTCTACACCTCAGTTCCTGTGTAAAATGGAGCTGGTTCCCTTGCAGAGTTGTTGTGAGGACTGTTTGAATATGTGCATATATATATACATGTGTACGTAGGTAGGTGGACAGATAGATAAAATTAGGTGTCCCAACTATTAGATTTCTTCTCTTCCCTCCCCTGTCTTCAAGGCTAAAAAGACTAAGAACACAAACTATACTGGACCAATTAAATATCAGCAAGTTTAAAGAGACAAGTTACTTGCCCTCAAGGATTATTTTGGTTTCTCATTTTTTAAAATGTGTTTTATTTATTTAAAAAACACATTCTGCCCAGCTCTACTGAAACCTCAAACTATTTACCCTTAATGTGCCAACAGCATCCCAACCGAATAACCCTTTAAATTGTAAACACTGACTTTATTGCAGAGGTCTGTGGAAGAGCAAGCTTTGTACCTGTACGAAGGAGAGTGATTTATTCCCGCTGTGAAGCAGGTTTCTAGAAGGAACTGAGTTGCAGCCAGGAAGGTGATTCTAAGATTCCCAAATGCTTCTGGCTGAGGACTTCAGATTTTATTTGAAACAGATTCTCAGAGTACCAAACACACCTTTATTCAAGTGGAAGTACAAAAGCACATTCCTAAACCAAATGCATACATGTGATTTTTACATTTTCTGCTATTTAGAGATTACTTAATCCTCTGTTTCATAATCACTGGAGGTGATTACCCGTGTTCTCTATCCGTAGGGTATATATGGTCATAGGAAAACGAAAACATGCATTTTTCATATGCTTTTACATTTAGATCATTCATTTAGGTCCCTACCGTGCCCTGATGAGATCCTATGCTTGCTGATGGCTAAGAGGTAAAATACTGTGGTAGAACTACCCTAGAGGTTATTAGCCATAAGAGGCTTACAGAGTAAGCAATGAATTTTTATATATTTGTTAAGGATCCCTAGAGAATATTTTAACATATGAATTATGAAAGCCTCAATCGCCGGAATGACAACTAGAATTTTAAATAACACTGTCTTATTCACAAAATATGTTGACGCTTAAGATGGAAAAATGCAATAGAATGCTTTGACATCATCTAAAGAATCATGAACTCTTCCTAGGTGTTATGACAGTGACACTGAACTCTGGAGCCAACATCTGTGCTCAGTTTCATCAATCAAAAAAAAAATGTTATTTTATATGGCCTGTAGACTCTAGTAAAATACAAAAAATATGATGATGTGTAAACAATTAAAAACGGGTAATGAAAAACTGTAATGGTTAGATTTTACAGGCATATCTGCCATTCTTGAAATATACTATAAAGATATTACACAAGAACAGCAATACCTTTGATGGAAGGCAGCATTCCCTTACGAAGATCTCTGATTTTAGTATATGTTCTTTACGTTTTACCCTATCAAAAGCAGACTTGAGCATTCTGCTGGCCTTCAATGGACATATATAAAATAATTCTGAACTTAGACATGCAGAATAGGCGCTAGGCTACCACCTAGCGCCTACCACCTACCAATATAGCTAGGCTACCACCAGTCTTGTTGGCTTCCTAAGGTCTTTTTCATCTCTTTTAGAAGGCTGTGAATGCTAACACAGCTAAGAATTTGGGTGTCACTTGAAAATGTTTAGCTGCCTGCCACAAACTCAGGGGAAACAGAATCCTTCATACTCATGGATGGACAGGGTGTGTAAATCCATTTCTTTTAAAGGAAGATAATTTGCATTAGGACAGAAGACACCAAAAAAGCAAGTAGGGGTGGCATACCTGCTGGTGTAAAGCTTAAAACTAGGAAACCATCATTGAAGGTGCTTAAGAGAATGGAGAAATCAACAGGAATCCAAATGTTACGGCTGGAAAGAAATAGGGTCCTCAGAAAACAGCAGGCCTAAGAGTCTGTTTTGGAGAGAACTTTGACTGAGAACAGTAGAAAAAGCTAAATGAGAAACTTTCCAGAAGTTGACATGTTTTAACATTGGTGTATCAATTTATCTTAGGGAAGCTGTGAACAGTAAGAACCAACTTCAGGAAAAATAAAAATGTTTATAGGCCACATTAAAATAAAAATAGCTTAGGGGCTTCCCTGGTGGCACAGTGGTTGAGAGTCCGCCTGCCGATGCGGGGGATACGGGTTCGTGCCCCAGTCCGGGAAGATCCCACATGCTGCAGAGCGGCTGGGCCCATGAGCCATGGCTGCTGAGCCTGTGCGTCCGGAGCCTGTGCTCCACAACAGGAGAGGCCACAACAGTGAGAGGCCCGCGTACCACAAAAAAAAATAAAAATAAAAATAGCTTAAATGAGTTCCATAAATAAAGCATACATACCTACTTGTAACACCTATTAAATAAAAGAATGCCACGAGAAAACAGAACTGCATTCACCAAGTCACTCCTCTGACTAGATTCTTCTGCAATGAAAAAGACTGGGACTATATATTAACGATTTCATATGCAAATAATAATTTTCCCTTCAATATTTTGATGTTGAATAAAGCCTGAAATACGGTGCTAAATGTTTCCACTTGCATTATATCAAATTCCTGTCTGGTGTGGATATTCTGATGATGAAAAAAGACTTGAACTCCTAGACTTGTCATTTACTATATACCCAAATGACTTCTCTTGGGTATGAATTCTTTGCTGAATGAGGGTTGGAATATGGCTGAATCCTCCCACACATACACATTTATTACATTCATAGGTATTCGGCATGAAATGAATTTGATGCTCACCATGTAGTTTCTTTGACTGAAGGCTTTTTCACGTTTATAGGGTTTCTCTCTAGCGTGTATTCTTTTATGTCGACTAAGACTTGAATTCTGACTGAAAGATTTTTCACATTCTTTACATATGTAGAGTTTCTCTCTAGTATGAATTCTCTGATGTCTAGAAAGGGCTGAGCTCTGATGGAAGATATTCTCACATGCATCACATTTATAGAATTTTATTCCAGTATGAATTCTCCAATGGTGACTAAGGTATGAAAATAGCATGAAGCATCTACCACCTTCAATGTATTTGTAGGTTTTCTCATTGATATGGGTTCGCAGGTGTAAAGAGTTTAACACGGACTAATAGCTTTCCAACGTTCGTCACATTCAGAAGGCTTCTCTCTGGTGTGAATTCCCCAATGATGAATAAAGGTTGAACTGGGACCAAATCCTTTACCACATTCAGGACACACATGAACTGGTGTGAACTCTCAGATGCTGAATGAGGCCTGAACTTGACTAAATGTCTCCCCACGTTCATTACATTCACAAGGTTTCTCTTTGGTATGAATTCCTTGATGGTGGACGAGGTGTGCTCTCTGACTGAGGTTCTTTTCCCACACATCACAATCAAAGGCTTTTTCTCTGGTGAGGATTTCCTGTTGCAGGACAAGATCTGAGCTATGGTTGAAATTATCCTGATAATCATTACACTCATAGGATTTCTCTTTCCTATGAATTTTGTGATGCTGAATAAGGCATGAAGTTTGACTGAAAGCTTTTCCACATTCATTACATTCATGTGGTTTCTCTCCTGTGTGAATTCTTTGATGCTGAATAAGATGGGAATTCAATCTGAAGTCTTTTCCACATTCATTACATGTATAGGGCTTTTCTCTGAGACGAATTCCTTGATGCTTAATAAAGGTCAACCCACATTCGTTGTATTCATAGGACTTCTCTTCACAATGGACCTTCTGATGTTCAGCTAAGTGTGAGGTATGACAGAAGTCACTGCCACACACAGTACACTTACAAGGCATCTCTCTGTGAACTCTCTGATGTTGAGTGAGGTGTACACTACGACTGAAGACTCTTTCACAACTGCTACATTTATAAGATTTTGCTCTAGTGTGAATCCTCTTATGCTGAATTATGTCTGAGCTCTGACTACAGGATTTGTCAGACACCTCACAGGATTTATCAGATGCTTCACATTTATAGGGTTTTTCTCTAGTGTGTATTCTTTTATGTCGACTAAGACTTGAACTCTGACTGAAAGATTTTTCACATTCTTTACATTTGTAGGGTTTCTCCCTAGTATGAATTCTCTGATGTCTAGAAAGGGCTGAGCTCTGATGGAAGATTTTCTCACATGCATCACATTTATAGGATTTCTCAGTGGCAGGAATGCTCTCCCATTTATTAAGGTGGGAGAGTTCCATTAAACTTTCCTTATACTCATTACTCTGAAAATCCTGTGTTAGATTTATTTGCTCATGTTTACCAGCTGAATTCTGGTTGAGGCTCATGTCATACTTATCAATGTCATCAACATTCTGTATTCTAAGAACTCTCTGATCTGCATCAAGAGTTGAGTCCAGACTGAAGCTTTTTTCAGGTTCATTACATTCACTGTTCTTCTCACTGGTGAAGGTTTTCTTACTGATTGTTATTTGCCTAAACTCTCTCTCCAGGAAGAGAAATTTCCTTAAGATTTCCTGAAGCCTTTCTAATCTGTCCTCAGTCTTATACACTTCTCTAGTCTCAGGAACTTGGGCAATATCCTTTTTGAGTCTTCCTACTCTCACTTTGTATGAATGTACTTCTTCTGGAATTTTCTGCTTAGGAATCAACAGCTTGTTTTCTTCTCTGGTCTCTCCATCTGATTCAATATATAAATAGAAAATGCAAATGTAATCTGTACCCTGTGCTTAGAAAAACAAAACTTAGAGAAGAGAAAACTAAATAATCTACAATCTACCAGGGTAAGAGAAGTTTATTTACTCTGAAACACAGGAACAAAATCTCAACAGCAGATGCAAGGGCATGAATAGGAGCAGTGAGGTAGGATCCAAGTGGTCCAAGGTGTGGGAGAAATAGAGGGCAGGTTCAGCAGAGTAAGAAGATAACCAATTAAGGTGTTTCAATGGAGATAACAGGGAACTAGTTCAACAGAATCATAGATAAGCAACTTGAATAGGGACCTAGTACAACTTATGGATAAGGGACAAAGTAAGAGTTCATCAAAACTGAACGGAAAAGGAAAGAGCTCTCCATTCTGGGATACAGACAGAGCTCTTCATTGACTGCCAAAGCAACTACAGCTTGGCTCAACAACTAGACTTTACTTCCCTACTAATTTATCTGATTGATTCTGCCTTACTCACCTGAGCAGTCATCTCTTAAGACTTCTCTATTCTTAGTTTCCAGATCAAAGACCTGTAGATCTTGTTCCAGCTGGGAGATCCCATCAGGCTTGGAAATTGGAAATCCTGCTCACAGAGAAGGAAATGGGATGTGGCAATTTATCCCCAGATACTACACCAGCCACTTTTTCTCTTAATAATGGCTAATGGAGAAAGAAAGTAAATTCTTAGAAGACATTAGGAAGGCCTGGAGAGTGAGAAGGCCAAAGACCTTCTACAAGGAGTTCATATTTGTGCTCTAGAAAGAGGTATGCTAAGGGGCAAGTTGATGACTTTTGGGAGCATAAGTATTCATTTACACACACTCAGGGAATGTGGCGTGAGTGTGTACCTGTCTTCACAGAAATTATCATTATCACTCCTCATCTGTTGCCTACAGATTACTCTTTGTATTAGACCTGGCCTACAAGTATTAGACCTGGTCAAAATGGAGGTCATCAAAATATAACTCTGCTGGACTGGAGAAAGGTGAATTCTCAAGCACCTGTTGTGCGGTGAGCTAAACTGTAGCAATAGAATCAGTGAAGGCTGAAAAAATATTCCAAGGACCAATCTCAAGAAACAATTCATTTCAGGGCACATGAGGAAACAAATAATATGACACATCCTTACCCCTTAGGAGCTTATACTCTTGTTTATTCAACAAACATTTATGGAGTGCCTCCTATATGCAAAGTATGTAGGAGATAAAGAGCCCAAGCAGATAAGGTCCATCCCCTCAAGGACCTTACACTCTAACTGCAGAGACAGATATAAATAACTTACACTAATATGATACAGTGAGGAAGATGCAATAAAAGTGCATTTTCACACAAAATGGTCTTTCTCTGGCTTGCATAATGGACTGCTAGGATCTCATCTCTTTTATTTTTTTATTTTATTTTTTTTTTATCTCATCTCTTTTAAAGCAAAAGCAAGAGGCAGTCTGCTTCTGAGGTGGGGCAGAACTATTACAGTATCAAAGGGGCAGTTTTTACACGTATTCAGCCCATAAAGCTTCTAGTAGCACACATACACACATAGCTCAAGCCCCTCATCTCCAAAAGCCTTTCTCTGCACTTACTGAATGTCTACAAACTGTATTATGTGTTCTTCTTATCCTGACATGTCTCTATATAATGAAGTTTACAGATTTTTTAAAATTGTTTTCAGGTATTATCATCCCTACCTGATTTATAAACTCTTTGATAGCAGGGACCATGTACCTTGTATCTTGCACTTCTTTTCATTCATTTATTTAAAAGCTACTCATTGAGTGCCAATTTTGTGCCCAAGTGTCAACAGATAATCAATGTTTTAAAAAGGGCTCTGGGCCTGAAAAGTATGATAAACCAATAGTTGTCCTATGGGATTCCACATGACAGCTTAAGAGCAGGGAGATCAGAACAGATATAAAAAAGGCATTTACTGTGTTTCTGAATTCCTGTTGGGCATAGAGTCAATTCTCTTTTTGGACACATTTTAGTTAAGGTCCTCCATGTCAAATGAAATAGTTTTGCAAGTTTAAAAAAAGTTAGTATGACATGACACAGCAACTACTCTGCTCAGAATTCTGATAACATAATTCGCAACTTTTGACAGATATTTATTAAGGTGTTTCTAGGTATTTGAAAATTGAAATTAATTTTGGTTACTCTATATCTACACTTAAATCACTTACACACAACAAAAAAGATCATCTTCTTGTTGGATTAGGGGTTTGATTTTAGACACATGTTTAAGGTAATGTAGGAAGGTATAGAGAATGCCTAGCAGGCAGTTAGAGATACAAGACTGCAGTTTAGAAGAGAGAAAGGGATTCAAGATACAGACTTAAAGTCACTTGTATTATCAAAATATTAAGCTAAGATTCACTAAACATTTGGTAGGTGCAAAGTACCACACCAAGAGCTTTATAAGCTTTTACTCACTTAATACTCACCATACCTTCATGAGATAGGAATTATTACTGTACCAATTTTACAAATGGGAAAACTAAGATTCAGAGAGGTTAAGAACGTTGCCCAAGGTCATGATAACTGGTGCAGCTGGGGCTCAAACAGACAGTCTTATTTCAGAAACCGGCTTTTAAATAATCTACTAGTAAAAAATAATGATTGTGAATGAAATCCATCCCTTCCTCTAAATATGTACAGAAAGAGAACAGAAGACCAACATAGTGACAATGGAGCAAAAGGTGAAAATAATAAAAAGAACAGATAAACAGTAATTAGAACAATACACGGAGAGACAGGATCCAACAGATTTAGAATCATGACGTTTAATTAAAAGGGACCTGAGAGAACATTTAGTGTCAAAGGAATGAAAATCTCTTCGTAATAGGCACAGCCTGAGCAACATTCAATCTGAGAAAATTCCATTATGAACAAACAATTTGAACACTCTCCTGAAATCTTTGTCTGTATTAAGAAATCTGGTCCATAGCTCCCACTTGCTGCCCCTTCGGAAAGAACATGTGCTGGTAAGTAACCAGCACAAGCCAGGTGCTTACGCACATAACCTGATTTAAGCCTTGACACAACCCAGGAAGCAGACATTATTTTTTGTTTTATAGATGGAAATGTCATTATAATCGGTTTAAATATCTGCTCAGTCACAGATGGTAAATGGAACCCACAGTTAACATTCTTTCCAATCTATACTAAGGGTCACAGAAAGCATTAAAGCAGGTTTTCTCACCACTGGCCTGAATGCCTTTTTCCTAGATTTAAGTCAAAAATCTACGCTTTCAAAATATGCATTTTTCCTATCGAAATTTGAAATTTTTCCTATCTAAAATTAATTTTTTATTAAAACATTTTGATTTTTAAAATTGAAACCTTGACAGTTTTCTAATTAGATTTATTTTTAACTTAATCTGATCTTTAAAAATAACATTTAAAATTTACCTCATTGTTTGTTGCCTATACCAGTGCTGTGCTAAGATTTTAGCCATCTAAAAGCTGCATGCTTTTCTTCCTGGTCCTTAATAAACACACAAATAAAATCTCTCCTTAGCTATATTGTTCCTGTGTAGATACCTATTATAATGGAATGTATCCTCTAACAATTTTACTTTTTCTTGAATGCATGCCCTTTCTGCTCCCAAACTGTATAACCTCATGCCTGTCTGTCCATTTTAAATTACCATCATAGTACAGGGCCATAAAAATATAAAAAAACACCATATGTGGTTGGACTAACTGTCCTAAGGCACAAAAGAGTGAAAAAGCGTGGGCTTCAGAGTCAGATCAGAGTCCATAGCCTAGCTTTGTCCCTGGATGGATCACTTAACTCCTCTTAGCCTCGGGTATAAAACAGAATAATACCTGCTCACAGGGTTATGGTAAGGATTAAATGAGATATGTTAAGTAGTAGTGAACAACTGTGGTAGTGAAAGACATTCTATACAAAATCATTTTTGCCCTCACGACATCAACTTCAAAAAGCAAGGGGTATGTGCTAAACATTCCTGATTTATCAGCTCACTCACCATCCAGTAGAGTTCTGGGAAGCAGCTTTCTAATGCTGTCACCTAACAGGGCACCTGCCACACTGCCCCATGTGAATTGTAATCCAAGCTTTTTTCCCAGCACTAAGTCACAGACGACTTCCCTTTGGGTATGACCCCCAAGCCAGTAATTCACTCACTGGCAACAGTATATGCTTCTTTTTAGATGTGGTAATGAAAATTTTTACCTACTTTTTTATTCTTTTACTCTGTTCATACTCTGTATATTTATTATTGTGTAGTGGAAGCACTTAACCAAAAGACCAAAGTTCTGATATCTGTGACAAATACAACTCAGAGCTACTATCATGGGAAAAAGGTATGAACTGGAAAACAGGGCTGCTAAATCAGAGACTGAATTATAAAGTCCTTATTTTACAACACAAAACATTAAGCTAAGTTAACTAAGTGTATAAACTTCAATTTCAAGTGGAGTTTGCTGAACCCCCAAATATGAAAATTACTTCCTAAAGATTGTAAAAAATAATTACTAAGGAGAGGCTGCTGACTTGGTCACAAAAACAAGTTGAGTAGGAGGGCTTCTTTTACGTAATTGTGCCCAGCATGTGTGACTGTGCATACGTGTCCTGTGTATGTGCAGAGATGACAGAGGAAATGGGATAAAATTCAGTCTAACAGTATGCTGTGCTGTTAGGCTGATTGAACTACTAAGAAGTTTCTTTACTCCAAAAAGTAGACAGGTTAACTGTTGGAAATTATGTAATTATTAGATATTAACAGTAATTTACAATTACATATCACTTTACAATTTACAAGTTGTTGAATATACATTCAATTTGACAGCCTGAAGGAAAGACAGCCTTTCCATTCCATTGAGGAAAGGCTAAGGAACACTTGACCAGGAAAGGTCATATAAACGCATCAATCTGTACAGCCCCACAAAGAATAAACGGGACAAAGGCAGGACCCTGGAGGGGGCCACAGGGATTTAAAGGAAGCAAAAGACTAGAACGTTAGAAAGGCCCAGGGGTCTCAGGAGATTTAGGCAACAGAAGGGGCAGGTCATGTTCACTACAGAAAAGGAGGGGCACACAGTGTATGTTCCACAGTCTAAAATAACATGAAAAGATCATAACCGAAGAGCTGGAGTCGAACTTTGTGGTTTCTGAGAACACAAGTCGATGACCACCAACCATGGCTTCTGATTGAGCTCAGAATTCAGGGTTCAAAATTCTGGTTGCAACGGAGGGCTTCCTTGGCCCTTTGAAATTTATCAAAGGTCATCTGAGGAGCTGCAATTTTACATAGTGGTGGCATCCTGAGAAGCATCTACTCCATCAATCAAGTGTAATATCTCATAACCGTGGAAAAGGAGTTTCCGAGCGGGGACGAGCACTATCGATGGGAAGCCGATACCTGGGCCATCTCTTGGAGATTCCTGCTGAAAGGACTGCAAGTGTTTCTCCAGAGAAAGCACTTGCCTGGGTATGACTCAGGGCCGGGCAGGAATTCACACTATGAATCCGGGTGGTGGGAAGGCGGAGAAGTATGCCTACGAAGATCAAAGAGCCAGGAATGGAAAACATACTAAAAACCTTCCCAGTGGGCAGGCTGCCTCCCCACAGATAAGAAGACCTCTTTAATCCTGAGTGTAATCAAGGAGACAAAACAACACCCTGGATGCCACCAGCACAGGCAAAGCAAAAAAGAGTTAAAAAAAAAAAAAAGAGAGAGAGAGGGAGAGAAAGAGAAAAGAAAAAGTATGATTAAGTACATACATACACAACAAAGAAAAGAGCAGCAGAGACAGGCAAAAAAAGAAAGAGGAGCAATGCTCACACCGAGGGGGATGCCGACAACTCCCACGGATCCTTCTCTACAACACCACAGGTTGTCTAATCTCAGCTGCCAACTGCACCATCCAAATGACAAAGGAGAGACTCGGTCTAAGTCTGAGACTTCTGCAGCTCGGGTGAGGTTACGCAGCATTACCTTCTGGGTGACTCACTGAAATGTACTCGCAGTGAGTCATGCCTTGAAATCAAGTCTCTCAAATTCTGCCTACTTGCAGATGAATTTAGGGATCTTAAGAGGTGAGGGATTATTCAACAAAGACGTTAGCCTATCTTAAGAAAAAAAAGGCATTTCTTCTTCTGAGAAAAATGGGAAACTCTCAGATACAGGGGCACTGAATTACCAGGTAGGAAAGTGTCTGGTTGTGGGTTGGGAGGCCCTAGAGTCTCTCTCATAAAAAAGGAAAAGATAGGGAAAGTGAGAACTTGCAAAGCACCAGCAAGTTTCCCTTTTCCAACAGGGAACAGATGCCCCACAAAAGCAAGAAACATTAACTGAGGTTAAGGAGTAGAATGTCTCCTCCTGAAACCCCCGAAGGAAACCCACTCCCAGAGGAGACGACCTTAAAGAAGGAGGAATCAGAGGTTCTACGACCAGGGATCTGAGCCACACTCAGAGACCTCACACCTACTCAAAAACAAGGAAGTAAAGAAATCCTAAGCGGTAAACTGAATAATAAGAAAGGCAATCCTTACCCAGTGAGACCAGGTTCCCATAATTCTCTAACATCACTTCTCTGTAGAGAGCCCTCTGAACAGGGTCCAGGCATCCCCATTCCTCTCGAGTAAGGTGCACAGCCACATCCTCGAATGTCACAAACTCCTGAAATAACACAGCCTGGCTGCTCTGGGGAAGGAGGCCACCACAGCATCATGGCCAGAGAATGAAGGAGATGATACAGAGGGTCTGCAGGGTGCATTTATGGTGGAAAGGAGGGAGAACAGAGTAGAATCTAGGGAATAGGTTCCACAACCCTTTAACATCTAATAAGCGCCCATGACAGCACCAAGGATAAAGGAAGTGTTTGCTGGTGGTATTGGGGAGATGGAAAGGTGGTTTCTGTGAAGTCCAGGTCTCTGAAGATGATCAGCACCCAACCTGGGGTCTGCTATTAAAAAAAAAAAAATTCAGGAAAGGTTTATGGATGGGATGAGGAAAGGACCACACTCAATCAGCAGCAATAGTCCCTGAGGAAAAGCAGAGGGTTCCTCAGCTCACCTGGTACCTGGCTGTTAGGAGCGCAGCTGCCTGGTCTCCTGGGCTTCCCTCGTGGGGAAGAGCAGGCACCTGGGGGACAGGTGGAGCTGAGGGAGGAGAAAGGAGCCAAGAGTGAGAGCAGCCCTTCCCCAGGGCTCCCTTACGCAACAGAGAGTCAGTGGGACCCTTACTCACATCAACATTACGGTAAAACCAACGAACGTTTATCGGGTATTGACCATGTTCTGCACCTTCTCAGCACCTGCATGCCCTCCTTACACGTGCTTAGACCCGTGATACAGGATTTTATTATGAAATCTCATATTGTACATTATTCCATGACATGACATACCTCTAACAGAAGGGTAAGCACTGTTACCTGTTTTGCAAATGGGCAAAGCAAAGCATAAAGATTTGCAGTGGCTCATCCAGAGCCACAGTTATTTAGTAGACTTTTGACCCTCTCCCAGACACTGTTCTGTAAACTTCATTAAGCCTTTCTTTTGAGACTGGGCACTGTCTCTGCAACCAGTGTGTAAGGCCCTCTAGAATAAGGAGTGGTCATCTGTTTCCTCATACTCCTTTCCTCACTCTCACAATGCTCCACAGCACTCTACGCACCATGGCACTCAGCTGGTGTTCCTGACACACAAGTTATTTCAGGCACTGCAGTCGGCACAAGTGATCTCATACAAACTTCATACAAGACAAAGGCAGTACAAGAGAGATCAACCTCTCTCTATAATACATAAAAATGTTATTTTGTGGTCAACATGTGATATGTATACATTATTATTTTACGGTCAATATGTGATATGTATACATTGGGCTCAACCAAGGAATTAGATGGTTGTTTTCTTGATCAAAATTAGATTAGTCACGAACACTGCAGTTGCAACAGAATGGCAGCTGGCAAAGCACAAAAGGTCAAGGAGGGAAGAAACTAAGTTAAGGGAACAGGGGGAGGGACAGGCCCTAAATCTAAGAAGAAGTGAAAGCAAGGCACGGGCGGTAAGGTGCGGCAAAAGCAGCATTTCTTAGAAATTATTCTGAATGTGGTAACTGCGATGAAGTGAAAGTTGCATGAAGGAGAAACAGCCAGAGCAGAGTGAGCGAAGACCACTCGGCCTATTAAAGGACAGGCTGACCTCAACAGAGGGGCCGAGATCAGGACTGGACTGAGTTGCGTCTGTGCCTCCCCTTCAAGATCTCCCTCTAGGGAGCAATCTCTCATTGAAATCCCTGGCCTCTCTCATACCAGGCCCAGGAGCCCCTCTGCACTCCCATTCTCCTGGATGGAAGTGGTCTCTCTGCCTTACCCCCAGTGAGTCCCTGTTCCATGTCGGTGTCCTGCACGAACTGAGGCTCTCGGGACAGACCCTCAGAGTGGGTCTCCAAAGGCTGAAACTGGACCCTTGGAGATCCTGCTGCTTCCTGGGCCGATATTTCCTCCATCCCTGTTCTGGAGGACGATGACCATCACTGCAGGGTGAGATTAGGAGAAATTATTGTAACAAGTTAAAACAACCCATCATTTTACATTCTCAGGACTTAGCAAAGTATCTTGCACACTGTAGACACAATGAAAATAGTTAATGATGATTAACCACCTAAAATAAACAGCAGGAAGAAAAATGGACATTATTCACATTCAGATATTTAAGAACCAAGTCATATGGTCCAAGTATGCAGTTTATTTGAACTCCACTAATCTAGAATTTGTGGAATTTTTTTTAATCAAGGAAACACAATTTAAGAGCCTAAAATTTTCTGTGTAAATTGAAAATACTTGACATTTACAAACTTCTTTCAAGGTTCAGGTATGCACCCAGAGAAACACACTAGTTCCGATACTCGTAATTTTTTAAAAGCAGGCCCCTACGAATTTTTTGGTAAACACTGTCAGCCCCCTCTGAATTACTGAATGGCCTCAACTGATAACCAAGTTCCACTCTGGGGGGTCAGACCCTTCGATAACTCAGACTAGATGGCAAGGCCCTTCCCACAATCCTGACAGTAAGCCAGGGAAGGGCTGCGACTCTAACAGGTCTGACTGGTTGTCCTTCACACCCAAGGACGCGGCAGCGCTCCGTCCCCTTTCCACACCCTCAGAAAGGAACCTCGCGCCCGGCCCTCAGAAGGCCTCGCCCGGCGCTGCCCTCCTCCCACTTCCCTGCTAGGTCAAGACACGGTCCCAAAAGGGCGAAGCGGGCCCCAGAAACCCAGCTCACAGCAGGGCACGGTCACCGGGTCCTGACGGCGGGGGCCTCCGTCCGCGGGGTGTCGGGGCGAACCCTGACTGAAGAGACACGGGCCCTCGCACCCCGGCCCCGCGCGCCCCTGGGGACGGGAACCGCAGTCAGCCGGGGACGAGAGACTCCTCCTCCCCGGGAGGCTAAACAAGGAGTCAACCCACCGCGACCCCAGAACGCCTTCCGGGGACTCACCAAGCGGAGGGGCGGGCCGGTCGGCCGTCCGGTAGCGGACACCCTGGCTCACGGGGCCACCACAGCCTTTCGGGGGTCGCTCTAGGCTGCTCGGAGGCCGGCGCTTCTCTGTGGTACTTCCGGAGGCGGAGTCCGATGGCTGGGGGCCGGGCGGGCCCCGGATGCGGGCCCCGGATAAGCGGGTGTCAGTCGCTAAGCCTTGTTTGTGAGGCTTTTCCATCCACGTCCTTCTGCCGGTCTCACCCTCCCTGCTGACCCCCGCTGGCCGCTCTGTAGCCAGTACATCGGTAGTGACCGCGACAGCCCCGGACTTGGGAAGGCGGCCCCGCTCTCCCTTCCCTGGCTGCAGCCAACCTTCGAGACTCCCCACGGGGTGGTGGCTCTTCCGCGGGGGTGCGTGTCGGGGATGAGGACGAAATGTCCAACCTAGTGGTCCGACCTCCATGAGTCAGCCGTTCGGGAACTAGCACAGGGGTACAAAATACGCTGATTACAGCCAGGGTTGAAGGCGCTTCGGTTATATGAGAACCTCAGAAAATCATAGGATCGAAACATAATACGGTTCTTGGGGGAAGGTGGGGGCATTGAGCAAGTTGGAGTGGAAGAGAGACTGGGAAAGAGCTGTGTTCCTGGTGGAAAGACGGGACTCTGCAGAAGGAGGGATGGGTAAAGCACGGTGCACGTGGACAGGCAGGCCCAGGGCTAGCACAGAAGCCCCTAGGGCATTAGGACCTCCTGCATCCTTAGAGAATGTGATGTCTTGTGGTGGGACTAGGTCCGCCAGGGACTGGCAAGTCGACTAAAGAATCAAAACAGTGATTGGAAGGGACTTTAGGTACTACTCCTTTGTTTAAGCTCACAAATCAGATATTTACCCTTTAATGATATTTGACATTTACAGTTAAATATAAGAAAAATCAAGTGTGACATTCTCCATGCTTTTTCAAATTACATAAGCCTCTGGGAGATTCTGATATGCCTTCCCTTTCTCTCCTTGAGTATCTCATGAACCTACAGCAACTTCCTACTATGACACAATCTCTCTAGTCTATAGTATCTCTGTCACAATGGAGTCAGCATCACGGATAGGAAATGCACTGCTTAAAAAAAAAAAAATGCACTGCTTGGTCAATTGCTTGTTGGACAGCTCCAGTTAGAAAGTTTTTTTGTGTGTTGAACAGAACTATACCTCCTGGTGATGTCCATTGTTCCTGTTGCAATCCCTGGGACAACAGATGACACATTACTTCCTGCTTGTCATTAACAACTTGTTATGAACCAGGTTCGTTTGCCCAATGGGCAGCAAGCCAAACACTGAGAGACTGAGGTTTGCAGCAGAGTTTATTAACACGGAAGCCAAGTGAGGAGGTAGGAGAACAAATCTCAGATCCACCTCCCTGAAGGTGAGGGACTTGAGATTTTTATTGGATAAAGAAGCAGGTTGGTCTTAAGTGTGGGGTAAGGTGATAGGAGGTTGGGGAAAGGTGAGGTAATCAGTGTTCTGCAAAGGCATATCTGAGTTACAGGCTTCTTAATGGGATGCATGTTCAAAAATGCAGGCACTTAGCATGATCTGAGCTTCGAGTTTTTGGCCCTCTGATGTCAAAAGTTCATTCATCAGACACCTGCACAGGCTGAGTTTTAGGATCAGTGGTCCCAACCAGTCTTAGCCAGCTTGAACTGGACAAGAGCTGACTCCAAGTTTCTGAAAAACAGCTTTAGTCCCTGTTACTGTAGCCACTCATATGACAGAGGTGTTATCTATAGGGGTAGTTGAGGAATCTCGTGGTATATTATCTAGGCTACATGAAGCTTGGAGGGTGTGTAACTTGAAAAAAATAATTTAAGCGAGCTTGTTCAGTGAAGGCAGAGGGTTTTTTATTTTATTTTATTATTATTTTTTTTTTTGCGGTACGCAGGCCTCTCACTGTTGTGGCCTCTCCCGTTGCAGAGCACAGGCTCCGGATGCGCAGCTTCAGCGGCCATGGCTTACGGGCCCAGCCGCTTCGCAGCATGTGGGATCTTCCCGGACCGGGGCACGAACCCGCGTCCCCTGCATCGGCAGGCGGACTCTCAACCACTGCGCCACCAGGGAAGCCCAGCAGAGGGTTTTTTAAACAAGTTGTTCCTTTACCTGCTGTTCTGTAAAACAAGCTCAAGAATTGGGCACCATTTCAAGCTCTTCTAATGTTCTAGGATACCTATAAGTTTGAGGTTCTTTCCTGAGTTGCCCCACAGGTTGTAGCTCTCAGCAGAGTGTTGCATTTCTACAGCAGAGGTGAGCAAACTATGACAGTGGTGCATCTGTGTCTAAGTTTTGCCCGACTCGGGCAGTTTTCTCCAGCGAGAGGTCCTCAGGAGGCACCCATTTAAGAGTCCATGTCCCACCAATAGGCACCAATCCCTAACAAAGGATGGTAAGAAACAGTAGCTACTGTTTTGCTCTTGAGCACAATTTTCTTTCAACCGTTATTCAGATGATGCAGGTGGAAACAACAAACTCACAAAATCTATGATTTTTAACTTAAACTATATTGCTTTAAAGAAAATGTAGGAGCCACTATTCCCAAGGGATTGAACACTTCACTACTCCTTCCCACATGCCCACCATTGCACTAGGCATGGATAGATACAAAAGAAGGGAACTATCACACCAGAATCGATACATGCTCTGAATATGGGTTTGTCTTCCCTGACTGCTTTGCCTCCATCTGCACCGTCATCTGAGGGCTTATAGGATGCCTTATCCACTGGATATACCTTAAACCAAAGAACCCATTTTATAGTCAAGGAGGTGTGACAATGAGCTTGTAACCACAGAATTCACAGCGTTTACTCATCAGCCAGAAACAACTAGCACGATGGAACTGTGGAATGGCACGTTGAAGACTTAGCTAAATTGCTGATACAAGATACAGCACCTTGTGAAGCTGGGGAGCTGTCCTCCAAGATACAGTATATGCATTGAACCAATAACATATATATGGTATTGTGTCTCCAACAGAAAGACTACATGGATACAGAAACCAAGGAGTCAAAAGAGGAGTGGCCCCTATTAACCATCATAACCAGCAACCTATGTGTGGAATTTGTGCTTCCTGTCTCCCCAGTCTAGAGTCTGTTGGGTATGATCCTGATTCTCAAGAAGAGCATTTCTTCTAGGAGATACCTTGAGTGTTCCACTAAACTGGAAACTGAAAATGCCACCAGGCCACTTCAGTTCCTTGTGCCATTATATCATCAGGCAAAGAATGGAGTTATTACAAAGGCTTCCTACAGTCCCTTTGACACACAATACATAAATACAAAAACATACCCAGCTGGCTGCACTCAACAACCTACCTTCCTGGATCCTTTAGGCGCTTTAAAGTACGAACAGGGGTGGGAGGATAGGGGAGAAGGCAGATTTAGGCAAAGAAGAAAAATACAACGTACAACAATGTAATGGCTCTTAGAGATGACTTGCAACACTGGAAGGAAATAGGAGGAAGAATCTGGAGGCAGAAGTTCTGGGAATATGTCTTCAAGGAGGACCATAGGTCAGGGAGCCAGCCAGTGATAGAGGAGCAAAAACCTACTCAAGTGGATTACTGAAGAGTCACAGGGAAGTAGAAGGAGGAAACAATGGCAACCACAGCAAGGTCAAACCTCACTGGGAATGGAACATTACTTAGGGCTTGGAAGATTATTCAGAATATCACTTAGTCATTTGTAGCCTCTGTAGTAGGTGGCTGTTCCTTTTGGGCTTTCCATTTTTGCCCTCAAATTTGTCTTGGAACTTAAGAGCCATGTCACAATCATTCAAGGTCTCTTTTACTGTTTTATAAAAAGTGAAGTAATAGCAAATGCTGTAATTACTGTGATAACATTTTGATAGCAAAAATGCCTCAAATTCGAATTACTATAGTAATTTCATTACTATCACACTCAAAACTCCCTGGAAACATTAGCCAAGCTCAGAATCTTGTAACTATCTAGTATTGGAAAGAATATCTGTTGCCTATTGAACAAATATTTGAAAATACTGTCGACTGAAAAAAAAAAGCACAACCTAAAGGTTGAGAATTATGTTTTATTTGGCAGACAAAATTGAGGACTTAAGCTGGGAAGACAGCCTCTCAGCTCTAAGGGGCTGCTCCAAAGAGGTAAGGGAGAAGCCAGGATATGTAGGAGTTTTGCAGCAAAAACCTGGTAGCCAGAACATCAAAAGATTACTCTTAATTAAAGAAAACCAGACATTTCAAGTTAATGATTTTAGAGCTTTTCTATATATGGGAAGATGCAAGAGACTGGGCTCACTGAAATCATTCCTTTGACATGCACCTCAGCTGTCTGGGGCCAGTACCCTGCTCTTCTCCATCCTGAATCCCCTCAGGGTACACAGTTGGGGGCGGCTGCAGTGACTGCTGGCTTGAAGCCGCAGTTTACTGGTATGGCAGGCAACATTTTTCCTCCCCAGGTCCGTTCAAGTGGCAATACGCAATCAGGGTCCCCGGAGAAGCAACCACTTTGGTTTCGTGAAACCATCCATCCTTGACTTCACTTTGCTCTACTGTCTACATTTTTGTTTCAGTTCCTCTGCCACAGACACACAATCACCTTATTGTTTGATAATAACTAGAATTATTACGATTACTGCCATCAATAAGAAAAAGTAGGAGAAATAGTTGGAAGATGAAAATAAGAATGGCAACACAAATGATAACAGAATATAAATGCTATAAGGTGGCTATCAGGAAAGCTTAAATGGGTTTCAGTGTTTTTAAAAAATAAATACAAGTTTTCATTGTTTTCCCCTGTGCCCCAATGGGTGGTCTTGTACACCGTACTTTGGTGATCACTTTTTAAGAGTATCTAGATGGCAGTGTAGCAGCATAGTTAGGACCCTGGACCTCAGACTTGGGTTTGAGTACTGGATCCACTACACTATGTTGTTAGACACATTATTTAATCTTTCTCAGCTTTTAAAATAGGAATAATAATTGTGTGCTTCATTAGGCTTCCATGAGACTTAAATGAGCTGTGTATGTAATGTACCGAATCTGCCTGGTACACAGCTAACATGAATGGCAGTTACTCCGCATTTACTGTGTCACATCATTGGATTTAGTGACTTGTCTTCATGGATGAGGTGTAAGCAGCATAGCAACACTGTGTTAACCTTTTAATACTGCTATTAAATTTTTCTACCCTGCAGGACAGCAAAAACTGATCTCATAAAACATCTAGGACAAAAAGGAAAGTCCTGCAGACAGACCCTGTTTGGATCAAGTGAGCCAGTTCTTTGAACCTGAACAATGACTGCTGAATCAGGCAATGCTACAGATTTGTCTCCCCAGGCTACCCAGGAGATGGAAGGCGCAGTGATAGTGAAAGCGGAGGAGGAAGAGGAAGAAGATGAGGAAGACCGTTTTCAAACAGAAAGAAATAGCCTAGAGTTATCACCCCAATTTCTTAGTCGTTCCACAACTATGAATGAGAGAGCCTTAATATCATCATATTTAGTGGTGTATCGAGTGGCAAAAGAAAAAATGGCTCACACAGCTGCTGAAAAATTATTCTCCCAGCATGTATGGATATGGTACGTACCATCTTTGATGATAAATCAGCTGATAAATTAAGAACTATACCTCTTAGTGATAATACAATATCTCGTCGAATCTGTACTATTGCAAAACATTTAGAAGCAATGCTTATGACACGGCTACAGTCTGGTATAGATTTTGCAAGCCAACTTGATGAGAGCACTGATATTGCAAGTTGTCCCACACTCTTGGTATATGTCAGGTATGTGTGGCAAGATGATTTTATAGAAGATCTGTTGTGTTGTTTAAATTTAAATTCACATATAACTGGATTAGATTGATTCACTGAATTAGAAAAGTGCATTGTTGGTCAACATAAATTAAGCTGGAAAAATTGTAAAGGAATTTCAAGTGATGGAGCAGCAAATATGACTGGGAAACATAGCAGTTATTGAAAAATTGTTAGAAGCCACCCATAACAACTGTCTTTGGAATCATTGTTTTATTCACCGAGAAGCTTTGGTATCCAAAGAAATTCCACCGAGCCTAATGGAGGTATTGAAACATGCAGTGAAAATTGTTAATTTTATTAAAGGAAGCTCATCGAATAGCCGACTTCTTGAAATATTGTGTCAGAGATTGGAGTGAACCATACCCACTTATTGTTTCATACAGAAGTTCATTGGTTGTCTCAAGGAAAAGTATTGAGCAGAGTATACGAACTCAGGAATGAGATTTACATTTTTCTCATTGAAAAGCAATCGCATTTGGCAAATATTTTTGAAGATGACATTTGGGTAACAAAATTGGCGTATTTAAGTGACATTTTTGGCATTTAAAATGAATTAAATTCGAAGCTACAAGGGAAAAACAATGATATATTTCAATATCTTGAACACGTTCAAGGATTCCAAAAGGCATTATTGTTATGGCAGGTAAGACTTAAAAGTAATCGCCCCAGCTACTACATGTTCCCAACGCTGTTGCAACACATTGAAGAGAACGTTATTCATGAAGACTGCTTAAGAGAAATAAAATTAGAGATATTAGTACATCTCACTTCTTTGTCTCAAATCTTCAATCGTTACTTTAGAGAAGAGAAATTTGCACTGTTAAAGGAAGCTGTTTGGATGAAAGATCCATTTGCTTATCAAACCCCAGAATCAATAATTGAGTTACACTTGGTGCCTGAAGAAGAGAATGAATTACTGCAGCTCAGTTCGTCATTCACACTGAGGAATTATTATAGGACATTAAGTTTATCAGCACTTTGGATTAAGATTAAAGATGAATTTCCACTGCTAAGTAGAAAGAGTATATCGCTATTATTACCATTCACATCTACCTATTTGTGTGAACTAGGATTTTCGCTCTTGACACGATTAAAAACAAAGAAAAGAAATCAGCTCAACAGTGCACCTGACATGCGTGTTGCCTTATCTTCATGTGTGCCTGACTGGAACGAACTCATGAACAGACAAGCACACCCATCACATTAAGTACAATCGTTACGAAATTTTGTTTTTGTACGTTCTTAGGCACTTTTTGTATATTGTATTTAAATATTAATAAAATTATGGTTGGGATTTACTAGGTTTCATTTTCTTGTATAGTAAGTATTGTCTCGTGAAACTTGTTTGTTACATGAATATGTGTGTATGTGTATGCAGAGTAATGATGTAAAATATATTTCTATGAATTGCTGTCAATTTGGGAAAATGGTGCTCTTAACACTCTTAGTTTTATACTCAAATCTGTCACCTTGTCCACTGCTGCTGCCTTGCTTCTTTCAGGCAGAGCCCCATTCAGATTCAGTTTCTCACCACTTATGTGCCTATGTGCTCTTCCTTGTCTGTTTTGTTTTGTTTTGTTTTGTTTGTTTTTTGCCACACCACATAGTTTGGGGGATCTTAGTTCCCCGACCAGGGATCGAACCCAGGCCCCCTGCAGTGGAAGCATGGAGTCCTAACCATGGGACCACCAGTGAATTTCTGTCTGTTCTAATTCCAGGAAGTGAATCTTGATGCTGATCATGGTCTAACACCATCCTCGTCCCTGGGTTTATTTATGCATGGGCACATGTTATAATTCTAGCGAAGGATATATGTAGGGCAGTCTGTCAGGATATCTTTGTGAAGGTTTCCCTTGCTCTCAAGAAAGGACACAAGAGAAGCTAGTGACGATAGTGCTATAGTTTTTGTATCTCCCCAAATCCCTCCTAAAAAACACGCAGAGCATCATATGATCCTGCAATCCCACTCCTGGGCATGTATCTGGAGAAAACTCTAATTAAAAAATATACGTGTACCCCAATGTTCACAGCAGCACTATTTACAATAGCCAAGACATGGAAGCAACCCAGTGTCCATCGACAGATGAATGGATAAAGAAGGTGTGGTAGTTACAGTCACTGGAATGATTACCCATAAAAAAGAATGAAATTATGCCATTTGCAGCAACATGGAGGGACCTAGAGATTATCGTATTAAGTGGAGTAAACCAAAGACAAGTATCATATGATATCACCTATATGTAGAATCTTAAAAAATGATATAAATGAACTTATTTACAAAACAGAAATAGACTCACAGACACAAAAACAAACTTACCAAAAGGGGATGGTGGTGGGGGCAGGGGAGAGAGAAATCAAAAGTTTCAGATTAACAGATACACGCTACTATGTATAAAATAGGTAAACAACAAGGACCTACTGTATCGCACAGGCAACTATACTCAATATCTTGTAGTATCCTACAATAATGGAAAAGAATCTGAAAAAGAATATGTGTAGATAGATAGATGTATGTATAACTGAAAAAAAAAAAACAACAGAGCAACTAGGATTGCAAAGCTGAAACCCATGGACATTTACAACAAAACCAGGTGGTGGAACCAACAGTTACAAAACTAGCATGGTCTCAAGCCATTCTGTAAAAGGAAGCAGAAGCAACAAGCATCTGACAGATTAAAGAACTGCAAATAGTCAACAGGTATTCCTGCAATATTTCAGTGAGCTATATTGAGAACAGCAGCTGAAACCAGGAGTTTGCCCATTTCAATAGAGAGGAAATGTTGGGAATTGGTGGTAAAGTCTGGGAGCAGTGTAGACTCTGTGAAATAGAATCCAAATTGACCAAGATGGGGACAAGAGAGACCAAGACTTATCTCTGTGTCCTTGAGGCTTACTTTGCCCAGAATCAAGATCTGTTTGGCTCCTGTTAGTGAAAATTGGCCTTTGGCCAAGTACCAGGTTTGTACAAGCACCATCCTGTGGACCATGGCAGTTTTCCTGGGGTCTTTTCTATCTAAAATCTTGCTTCTTCTTAGTCAAATACCTGCTTTCTTCATGTTTTCTCACTGTAAATTAAGAAGTATGTATAGCTCATCAGCACGGTTTTTCACCAGGGAAAATTTGAAATCACAATGGCCACTTTCAGGGAACTTGACGTGAACAAGGTTGTTCATTTGAGAAGCGCCTTAAACAAAAAGGGAAGAAACTCTCACGAGAGTTTTTGTCTGTCTGAAAGAGACCATTTTGCTTAATGCGGGACACATACCATCCTTTGTCATTTCTGTATTTTAGGGTTTAATAGGTGCTGGCATCTTAATTGTGTGGCTGTTTATCTAAAGCTGGTTCTGAGGGTTTTTTTCCCATTTTCCATCTCATTTTCCCTTTAGGGAAAATTTTAAAGATTAATTGACAAGGGAAAACCAGATTGTCACTTTGTACACTCTAAAAATACTATTCTAGATACTCAAAAATAACTAAAAGAAAGGAAAGGTATTAATATATTTCTTTTGCTTTAAGAAAATTTATATTTTTCTGATTACTAGTGAGAGTGAACTTTTTAAAATAAATTTATATATTTATGGCTGCACTGGGTCTTCGTTGCTGGGCGCGGGCTTTTCTCTAGTTGCAGCGAGGGGGGCTACTCTTTGTTGCAGTGCGCGGGCTCCCCATTGCAGGGGCTTCTCCTGCTGTGGAGCACGGGCTCTAGGCGTGTGGGCTTCAGTAGATGTGGCACGCAAGCTCAATAGTTGTGGCTCACGGGCTCTAGAGCGCAGGCTCAGTAGTTGTGGTGCACGGGCTTAGTTGCTCTGCGGCATGTGGGATCTTCCCAGACCAGGGCTTTAACCTGTGTCCCCTGCATTGGCAGGCGGATTCTTAACCACTGCGCCACCAGCGAAGTCCTGAAAGTGAACACTTTTATATGTATATGACCCATTTGCATTTTGTATGAATTATTAGTTCATATCCTTTTTCTATTTTTAATCTTTTTCTTATTAATGTGTATGAGCTCCCTCTTTAGAATAGATCTTAATCTCTTGCCTACTAAATATTGTGCAAACATTTTCTTTATTTTAACTGAAGTACAGTTGATTTACAATGTTGTGTTAGTTTCAGGTGTACAGCAAAGTGATTCAGTTTATATATATGTGTGTGTGTATGTGTGTATGTGTGTGTGTGTATATATACACATTCGTTTTTCAGATTCTTTTCCCTTATAGGTTATTACAAAATATTGAGTATAGTTCCCTGTGCTATACAGTAGGTTCTTGTTGTTTACCAGTTTTATATATAGTAGGGTGTATATGTTAATCCCCAACTCCTAATTTATTCCTCCCTCCCTTTCCCCTTTGGTAACCATAAGTGTGTTTTCTATGTCTATGTGTTTATTTCTGTTTTGTATATAAGTTCATTTATATCATTTTTAGATTCTACATATAAGCGTTATCGTATGATATTTACCTTTCTCTGGCTTACTTCACTTAGTATGATAATCTCTAGATCCATCCATGTTGCTGCAAATGGCATTATTTCATTCTTTTTTATGGCTGAGTAGTAATCCATTGTCTATATGTACCACATCTTCTTTATCTATTCATCTGTCTATGGACATTTAGGTTGGCTGTCTTGGCTGTTGTAAATAGTGCTTGTGCAAACATTTTCTTGATGTCTATTTTAACTTTTTTTATCTTACTTTTCCCATAGAGAAGTCTTACATTTTTATATTGTGAACTATGTCAATCTTTTCCTTTGTGACTTTGGGGTTTTGTGTCATAATAGGAAGGACCAAATGTACTAGTCAGAGGAGGCTAAAGTGCTAACATAGATAGGCCCAACATGTAATGGCCCAAACAAAATAGAAGTTTTCTGTATTCAAATGCAGTCATTCAGGGACCCAGACTGACACTAGCTCTGTCATCTTCAACATATGGTTTTCAAAGTCACTCTGGCCATGGAGAAATGTTCGTGGAAGGTTTTATGGGCTAGAACTGTGAGATGCATACAAACTTCTGCTTACCTTCCTTTGGAGAGAACTTAATCATAGGACCACATTTAACTGCAAGGGAGGCTGAGAAATGTAATAAAGCTGGATACATGAAAGAAGGGAGAATGCGTTAGAGAAATCTAGCATTCTCTGCCACAGTTCTTCCCATCTGTCCCATGCATGAAATAGGTTTACTTCTTCCCCAAGAGAGAACCCAGAGTCCAGTCTAATTCCTACATTCGGCACAAAGTCCAGGATCTCTGGATGATGGACAGTCGTCTCCGGCAGGTCTGGATGGGATTCCTTTGGGTCCAACAAACTATGAACTAAAAAACAGGTTATCTGCTCCCCTTTCCTTACCCCTAGCACATACTCGATTTACAACAGTGGAACAGGGACAGAATAACTGCAATTAAAAACTCCCATTCTTAAAGGATGAGAGGGCTTCCCTGGTGGTGCAAGTTTAGGAGTCCGCCTGCCAGTGCAGGGGACATAGGTTCATACCCTAGCCCGGGAAGATCCCACATGCCGCGGAGCAACCAAGCCCATGCGCCACAGCTACTGAGCTTGCGCTCTAGAGCCCGTGAGCCACAACTACTGAAGCCCGCGCGCCTAGAGCCCGTGCTCTGCAACAAGAGAAGCCACGACAATGAGAAGCCCCAAACTTCGAGTGCACTCGTATTAAAAGAAACACACATTAAAACTATACTGAAAAAAAAAAAAAAAAAAACTATACTGAGTTTCCTCTTCTGGCCGTGATGCAGTTTCTAGGACTGGACTGACTTATTGGACTTACTGTAAAAACTATCAAACTAAACAGAATATATGAAAAAATGTTCTCAGACCTTGGACAACAGGCAGGGCAGACCCGTGATCCCTGGGCAAAAGGAAATACATCAGGTGAGGCCTATATGGCCCTGACTTTCTAACTGGAGGCCCCAGTGCAGGGGAGGAGGCACCCAAACAGACCACACAGCAGGCTCTCAGATGAGGACACAGAGATTTGAGTTCAAGGAGGCAGAGGGAGCTGGGATTTGGGTAGCAGAAGCCTAGAAAGCCAGAAGCTGCACAGAGAAAAAGCTCTAGAAATCTCCATAACGGGTCCTCCTGAGTTTGTTCCTGGCAGAATCAAGCCAGGCAAAGAACAAGTAGGAAGCTGTAAGCTGAGTAATTCCCAGAGCTCACACAGAGCTAGGAGACGTTCATGTCCTGGCCAGCTATAATGGAATCCTCACTGAACACCTGAGGCAGCCAGTAGATATCCTACAAGGATAATGCCTTAATAAAAGGACTGAACCAGGCCTGGAGTACTTCAAGATTAGCTCAAGCTTTCAAGCCAAGATCACACTCTTCCAGGCGGTGATACACCCATACAAAGCTTCAAAATAAGCCTTGAAAGAATCCAGGTGATATAAAAGTACTTTGAACTGTTGGCCAGGGGGAAATTTTTTATTATGGTAAAATACATGTAAAATGAAATTTACTGGGCTTCCCTGATGGCGCAGTGGTTGAGAGTCCGCCTGCCGATGCAGGAGACATGGGTTCGTGTCCTGGTCCGGGAGGATCCCACATGCCGTGGAGCGGCTGGGCCCGTGAGCCATGGCCGCTGAGCCTGTGCGACCGGAGCCTGTGCTCCGCAACAGGAGAGGCCACAGCAGTGAGAGGCCCACGTACGCAAAAAATAAATAAATAAATGGAACTTGTAGAGATTTTAAAAAGCACCAATATCTGAAAGGATCAGCAAGCTTAAAGAGTAGCAATAGGAACTATTGCTTATAAGACTTACAATTATTGATCTCCTCTCCATAGTGGTCTTTATCTAATAAACACTGGGAGACTGGAAAATTCCTCTCTTCCTTGTCCAATGTTCTAGTATAGCTCTTTAGCCTTCTATTCCATGCAGCTTCAGATATCAGTAAATATTTTGATAGGGAAACTATCCCTGAGTTTGAGGCCCCCAGGTCTCCAATGTCGTCAACTTAGCACAGCATGATTGTCAAAAGCTCAACTGTGTGAGCATTTTTCTGTCTGAGTTCAGCAGCTTTTTGCCTGGACCAAGCCTTAAGTGCTTTGAATAACATTTAAATGTGTAATATTTAAAATCTAACAGTGCCTGGCACATTCTAGGCACTCAATAAACATTAATCGAATTAATGAATTTCATTGTATTTCCTGATTTTTTGAATTCTCCTATGGAAGTTCAAACTGCTACAACACTGAGTCAATGAATGTCTGTATTCATCTAAAGATGTTTGGAAAACTGAAGGTTTTCACTCTAATACTTGAGGAACATTTACTGTGCCAGGCATTGTTTTAAGCACTTCACATATATTAACTCATTTAATACTCATAACTCTATGAAATTCATAGTACTGGTATCCTCATTTTACATCTATGGAAAATAAGGTACAGAGGAGCTAAGTAATTTGTCCTAGGTCAAACAACTAGTATAATACTGGAGATATATATATATGTATATCCCGTGGAAATCCGGACTTAAACGGAGATTTCACACAATACCTCAGAAGGCTTTTTTTTTTTTTAATCTGCAGTCTCTCTTACTTCTTTACTAAACATATGGAATCATATAAAAGATTAATTAGTCCTACTATCATTTACAATTAATTGTCACTAAGTCCTCTGTTGCTTTAAATAACAGCATTCATGTCACAGAAAAGTAAACAATTCTGAATAACATAATTTCAGATAAGTATCTATTTTTATGTTTTTATCTTAATAACATATATGTGTATTATAATTCATTATACTAACATATTTTTTTTGCCTGGTAGGGCTGTGTCCAGGGTCGGCTCTCTAAAAAGTTGGTCACTCTATATTAGACTACCAGGAGAAGCTTTTAAAAATACCCAACTGCACGAGGGCTCACTCCTAGAGATTTTGCTACAATCGGTGCGAAGGGGAAGGACTTGGTATTAGCATTTTTAAAGCCCCTAGCCTCCAGACCTCCAGGGTAGGCTGGAACGGGCTGGGGCGGGGCCTGGAAGTCACGTGACCTAGTCAACGCCCTCTGCGGCAGTTGATTGGCTCCGGCCAGGAGCGGAGGTTGCGAGAGACATGAGCGCCCCGCCCCCTTACTCGCACACTCCCTCCACCCCCGCCCCTACCCTTACCCTCTATCAGAGAGTTGCGAAGCCTCCGCCGTTCCTAGAAGGTACTCGGGTGGGGACGCTCTGCTCGGCGTGCGCCAGTGATCCGGCTGACAGGCTCAGGGACCTTTAGCGTCGCGCCTTCAGGTGCGGTTTAGCTGAGAGGCTCGGACCTGATTCCGGGTCCAGCCCAGCACCTCGAGAGGGGATCCCAGCCCCCATGGCAGCCGCAGGTGCATCCTGAGGACTTCCTGGAGGAGGCGACGCGGCTGGAGTCGGAGGCCGCGAGGTTTGGGGAGAAAGGAGCTAGTGTGATGGGAGGATTGGGTGCCGCGGGGAAGCCTCAGTGGCCCCGCCATAGAAGGTGTGAGGGCTGGAGAGACACCCCCTCCCCCCCCGTATCCTTCCCCCCCATCCCACCCCGATCTTCAGGGCACTGTATTGTTATAGATTAACAAATTGGATTATGGGTTCTGACTTCCAAATGCACAACGCTCACAGAAGATAATCTAGTTTAGATAATGAAAGGGTTGAGGTCCCTTCCCCTGATCAGGACCGTCTGGGGGGTGCCTTCTTGCTTAAGAGGCAGGAGCGCTTAGGAGCAGTGTTTTTAGGGAACGTGAACGGTGTGTGAGGGACTTTCTTAAAGATGTACTTACATAAAGCAAGGTTCGCCGGTAGCCAGAGAAGCACAATTAAAAAATGAAGATCCTCCGTATCCCATCATTTGTGTATTCCCTGAGAGAAACAACACCGAATTTACTATATTTAAAAAGAAGCAAAGCGGAGGCCACAGTTTGGGTATGTCCCCTGGCCAACCACCCATAGCTGCGGAACCAAAACTTAAAAGCTGTCCTAGTTTCCCCCAAATGCTGGCTCTTTCCTTAACGGAAACAAGCTTTCTTCATGTCAGGGTGACCTTGCAGCTTCCTAGCCAATCAGCTACAAACAAGTAAACTTGTCCGGTGCTACTCTTCTAAAAGGAATGTCAGTTTCTAGTAACCAGTCCCAATAGAAAACAATGTACTTCCTCATTCATGTGTGTGGGAGGAAAATAATTTTCTCTCTACCCTTCTGAGTACTTAGTTGAGACCCCCGCAATAAAAGATGAAAATAAACAAGTTTCTTAACATGTATACCTCATGTAAACATGGGAGATACCCAAGGAAAAATGACTAACCCCTGAGATGGCGTAGAATTCGGGCCTAAATACTATCTTCATAGGGAAAGCGGAGGGAGGTTCTATTCCTGGAAGAGGCTGAAATGGCAGTTAGGTTAAGGATTAAGTGTTGGTTTGCTGACATGGGGCTTAGCATGAGTGAGTCCACATAGCTTTCAGGATCTTAGTTCCCCAACTAGGGTTGGAACCCAGGCCCCGGCAGTGAAAGCCCCGAGTCCTAACCACTGGACTGCCAGGAAGTTCCCCTGTTGCTTCTTTTTTAAACAGCCGTTTTTTAAGTCCCACAGCTCAGTATTCCAAAGTGGTATATTTTGGGGTGGCTTATTCTGCCACCCCTTCACAGGCTTTATAAACTGAGCGGTAACTGCTGAGAGCTCAAGACTTTCAGTTTTGAAGTCTCCTTGTTCACAGTTTGGGTTTTGCTCCCTAAAATGTTCCTATCAAGTAAAGTCTTCTGAATTTTCTTTTGACCACAATTAGCTCTTTGTATATCATATGTAGCCTAAAATCTCTAACTGCCCTAAAATCATTTTTACACTATCTGAGCTGATTCTGTGTGATGTAGAAATACATGAAGACCACCCAAAAGAGAACAAGCAAAGGCTCTTCATTCCCTTCATGGCCAAGGGAGTTGGCCACCATCACGTGCGTGTGGCAGAGACTCAAAGGCAAGCAGGGGAAGTTTTATAGTGGAAAAGAGGGAAGACTCAAATATGCTGAGTTTGGAGCTGATTGGCTTGGAAAAACTGGAGGCAGGTTAAATAAAAGAAGCGGAACATCCTACGTGATTGGGTACGGGAGCATATTCGGCTTTTCCTCTCGGCCCTAGATGGAGGACAGGGGTACATATCAGAGACAAGCTGGCACTTGGAGACCAAGTCCTGATGTAGGGCCTATTGCTGCATTGCTTGTGGTTTGGGTTCCAGGCGGGTTGCTGCAGGTTGCAGGTCAGAGTTCTGTTTTTTCCTACAGTCTGGTCCCTTGGCGTATTGGGTCTCTCAACGAGGTGCTGCTGAATATACTCTAGGGAGGAGGTGAGGGCGGAGCCACAGGTTTCCTTGGATAAAGATTGGAAATTGATTTAGCTTCAGAAATTCCTAACAAGAGTATTCTAGCAGTTGCTTTCATTTTATCACATATTCCAACACCAAACACAGTGACTTTGTGCTAGCTGAGGTTCGTTGGCCCCATTGGAATTCCCTGTCCTGGGCTGCCTGGTGAGAGAGCTTCAAATCGGGGCTGGCCTTACGTGTGCTCTTTTCCTCTCCTTCAGCTCAGCCTGATGGCCGGGAGGCTGCACCACCTCAGAGGCCAGGCCATGGAAGCCGTGTTCCTGCCAGTCCTGTGGAAGGTGAGCAGGGTTGCTCCTCCCCTACCTTGGTGTAGCCTCACCGCCGGGCATTGGCGTTCACGTGGCTTTAACTCCTCTGTTCAGGTCGAGCCATCTTTATCAGCTGGGGGTTTTTCCTTCTTGGAAGGTAGGATGTAAAGAGCTTGAACTTTGGGGCCAGACGGGTTCAAATCCAGGCTCTGTTTTAGATGTTACCTGATCTCTCACGGTTTCCTTATCTGGAAAATGGGATAATGATAGTAGCTGTCGCAGAGTTGCGAGGATTCAATGAAATGGGGCACGTGGCATATCGGCAGGGTATCTAGTGACACGTGGAGCGCTCTGTAAGTTTTAGCTGTTGTCACCACAGTTGCTCCTTGTTTCTGTCAGTGAGCATTACTGTGTACCTACTGTATACCAGATAGTACTGCCTTTGTGCTGGGAGAGAAGCTCTCGCCTAAGGCGCTTACAAGCCATTTGGAGAGGGAGCTGTGGAAACAAACTCGCACAACACAGGATAAATTCTGATCTGTTGGCATCAAAGGGACACTGGAAGCTTAGTTACTGAACTCGTAACATGATGGAGGGTGAGTGTGAGAGGCTGAGTAGAAAAGTGAGGAGACACGTGAGGAACCCTCGCGACCATTTGGAAAGAACAGTCTTGGACGGGAGGGAGGCAAGAGGGAGTTGGAGGGGCAACGCTTTGACCCGTTGGCCCAGCGTGTCCGCATTTGCTGAGGGATCACAGAGCTCTGCCTGCCCTTCTGGTGGCATCTCCCGCCTTCCCTGACGGCCAGAGGACCCGCCCGCAGAGATGTGGACTCCCTTCTGTCCCCCGGCCTGTGTACATCCTGTTCTCCCTGTCCACAGGCAACCCACCTCTGCATATGCTGAGACTCAGCGCAAAAATCCTCCCTGTGAAATCTCTCTGAGGTCCTGCATTAACCCCATAACTCTCCCTTGTGTTCCCACGTGGGCGGAGGGCTGGGCTCAGAAGGACAGCTGCAGAAGAGCCACTGGGTGGGTGTGGGGTGACTGGAGGTGAGCGTGTAGGGTCTTCTTTACAGAAAAGGCCCAGTAAGGGAAGGAGAGGGCGGAAGCGAGAGGGAGCAAGGCGCCAGGAGCATCTTTGTAAAGGCAGGAGAGGCGGCAGCATCCTGCGGGCTACGGGCAGGAGTGATAGTCTGGGAAGGAACGCGGCTGTGTTGCTCTGCTTCATGACGCCTCACTTCTGACCGTTCTGACACCAGCTGGGTGCCCGCAATTTAACTCATTCTGACACTGTCACCCTGGAGTTAGCATCGGACCCACAGGGTAAGGGCTCAGTCCCCGCAAGACCGCCCCCCGCCCCGAACTCAGACGCCAGTCACAAGTGCGGGCTGTCACCTGTGCTTCTGACCCACCGGCTCTAAATTGGGTTCCCACGACCCACTCCGCGGGTGCCATTGATCTGGTAGAGTGGCTCACGGAACTCTAAAAACGGTTTACTGAGCAGGTCCTGGTTCACGTAAAAGGCTACAACTCAGGATCAGCCCGATGGAAGAGAGGCACAGGGCAGGGGGAGTGGGGGAGGGGTGCAGGGCTTTCCTCTCCAGGCAGACACTCCCCAGCACCTCCGTTTCTGCGTTTTTATGGGGGTTCATTAGTGGGCGTGATGGGTCGAGTCACTGACCTTTGGTGACTGACTGAACCCCAGCCTCTCCCCTCCCCACAGGTGCTAGGGGTGAAGGTTCTAACCCTCTCATCACATGCTTGTTCCCCTGACATCCAGCCCCATCCTTAGGAGTTTTCCGCATTAACATGAACTCAGGTGTGGGTGAGGGATTTGTTATGAGTAACAAGACATTCCCCTCACCTGTATGGCCCTGGAGCTATTTCAGAAACCGAGGACAAAAGCCCAAATATTAAAAGATGCTCCTCTGTTCTTATCCCTTAGGAAAATCCAAGGGTTTTTAGGAACTCTGTGCCAGAAGTAGGGAGGAAGACCAAATATATATTTCTTATTTAAATCACAGTATCACAAGGGGGAAAAGGGTAAACACAGGAGAGTCGTGGTCATTGGATTAAGACCCTGGAGGAGACAGGAGAGAATGGAATCGGCCCGAGGAGGAAGGGTCACCAGGAGGGAGAAGGGGGGTGGTGAGGCCCGATGCAGGGGATGCCTGGGAGCCGGTGGGGAGGCGGGAGGAGGTGAGGGCCGTGTGCCCCGGGGGCTGCTTTCTGGGAAGTGACTGGCAGTGCCTCCTGAGAGGAGGGGGTGGGGCGAGCCCTGTCCTCACAGCCCCCGTCGCCCCCCGTGGACCCCTGCATCGTCACCGTGTTGACTTCTCCCGCTTCCCCACTGGACCCTTCACTCCCTGAAGCGGGGCTGGGGCTCCGTGGGTCGCACAGGCTGTGCACTTAGCAGCTCTGGGGGCCCCGTTGTCACAGCTGCCATGTGAACAGTGTCCCCTAGAGTCGAGCAGTGCGCAGCCCGAGGGGCTGGTCCTGTGGGCCCGGCAGGAGCTGTCACCTCTGTGCGTTTACTGTCACTGGCGTGTGGCACGCAGGCCGGCGACTTCCTGGTGCTCAGTAAATGCTTCCTGAAAGAGCGGGAGTGCTAAAGGGGAAGAAGACCCCTGGTGAGGACCTTGAGGGCGAGAACTGTGGAGTCACACGAAGGGCCCAGCTAGGAAACCCCACGCACACAGATGACTCTGGGGCTTTGAACCGTTGTGTTCCAGCACCTGGGAGCCTCCACGCAGGTGCAGAGAAGGCAGCGGGCAGGTGGGGCAGGTGAGGGCGTCTGCGGGCAGCTCTGGGGACGGAGGATATTCAGGATCGGGGGAGGGGGCTTGAGACCCTAACCCTGGGCCAGGTGTGGGCAGGAGGAAAGAAAGGCCTGTCGTTTGCGAGACTCAGGGTCTGTCTGCAGAGGGGAGCGGCGTGAAGCATCTCGGGTGGGGCTGGTGTTCCTATTGTTGAAGCCCTTCCGCACGAACACCCCCTGAACCACGGCGAGTGTGGGGGGCAGACCAGGCGTCTTGGCCCCCGGGAGCTGGATACACAGTTGCAGATGGAAACTTCTGCCGTGGGCACGGTGCTCAGCGGTCTGTTTGGCCCGTGGAGACACTCTCCACCGTTCCCCACTTTGTCTGCGCCCTGGGAGGCTGGCCTTTATATTCTCCATCCACGGGCTCCCTTGCTCTTGCTTCGGGTTGGCTTCTGGCAGGGGGATGGGGTGGGGACCAGAGGCCTGGAGGGGATCGCTGTTGGGGGTTTATCCCTCAGTCCCTCCTTGCTAGGCTGCCCCCCGCTCCGGTCTTGCTTCTCCAACAACTTTCTGGATCCCAGTGTCCCCTCCCGTCCTCCCCCTTCACACCTAGTGGGTAGCGGTGCCCACGACAGCCAGCCCCACGAGCTCCAGCTCGCCTGGTTGGTCCCCATTAGCCTGTCCATCCCTATGTCCCATTAGCCAGTCCATCCCTGTGTCCCACTAGCCTGTCCGTCCCTGTTTCCCATTAGTCTGTCCGTCCCTGTTTCCCATTAGTCTGTCCGTCCCTGTGTCCCATTAGCCTGTCCATCCCTGTGTGAATGGCCCGCACGCTGCCCCATCCTCTGTGACGTCATGGGAATGAGCCATCTATTTCCTGAGAGATCCGGGCAGAAGAAATACAGGATGTGGAAGGTAGGGTTGTACAGAGCAGGGTCGGCAAACTCACCTGGAGCCAGGAGTAGTTCTATTGGGTCACAGTCACACCCGTTTGCTCTCCTGTTGTTTGTGCTGTGTCTGTGCTACCAGAGCAGAGATGAGTGACTGCAGCAGAGATCAAACGGCCAGAGAAGCCTCAAATACTGACCATCTGTAATAATAAAACTGTAGCTCACAAAGTTATTGTAAGAATTGCAGCTGCAGTTAGTTGCTGTGTTTCCAGGGGTTGCTGTCCTTTGAGGACGTGGCTCTGTACTTCACCAGGGAAGAGTGGGACACACTGGACTGGGCTCAGAAGGACCTCTACAGAGACGTGATGCTGGACAACTACAGAAGCGTGCTCTCCTTGGGTAATGAGTCAGCTTAACATTTCACTTTGAGTGTCTGCACATCTCCTCAGTCTCTTATCTGCAATTCCAGAAGCAGAAAAAGCTCTGAAAACCAGACGTTTTTTCGTAACTCATTTGGCTATAAGACCCAACCTGAAGTCATCAGGTGGTTAAATCTGATTTTTATTGTACAGGAAGCTATTTATCATCCTTTTTCTCATTTGGTCTTTATATATATATATATATATATATGGCATCAGAAATATCAGTGTGTTTAAGGTTTCAGCTCCAACCCCTGTTGGGGGTGGTGCATAAGAGAAAATATACCCACCAAGGCACCTTTCTGAAATCTGGAAAAATTCTGAGTCAGGAAACACATCTGGCCTCAAAGTTTTCAAATGAGGGATTGTGGACAATTAATAGTTCCCTTTTGTTTTAGAGTTCAGAGACGATGAGCCCATTCCCCACCCCGACCTGAATCCTCCACACCTGTTAAGACTCCTAGGCGCTGACAAGACTGTGGCCGCCGCAGATTCCAAGTCTAGCATCTTGCTCCCTTGAAGAGTCTTTTTCTTCCTTCTGTCTGAAAATGGTTTCCCTCCTTGTTTACAACATCACTGGGTGCCCAGGAAATGATTCTTCACTGACTTCACTTCTGAACCTTCACAGCTTCCATCTTCCCAGGAGCCTGCCTTTGTGTTACTCCGATGCAGAGTCTCCCTAGGGTGGGAGGTTCCTGGATGACTTTTTCTTTCTGGGGAGTGTTGGCTCCCTTGCAGACACTCTTGGCACAGAGTCTTGACCGCCTCTTGTGAGACTGTCCACCCAGCACTGGATGTTTTACTGTTTACTTTTGTTCTAAAAGCATTCCAAGAGCATACTTGAATATATGGAAGATAGAGGAAAGCATAAGCGGAAGGGGAAAACATTCAGGGCTAACACTGTTAATATTTTGGAACATTTCCTTCCTGTTTTTTTTTTCCTGTGCTGTTTTTTTAAAAAAAAAAGCTATCTGAGCATAGTCTATGTATAATTCTGTAATCCCTTTAAAATTTAACATTATAGTATCAGCATTTTCCCTGTTATTAAAAACCCTCATAAAGCAGAAAATTAAAATCATCTGCCTGCCCACTGCCCAGCATTAACCCTGTTAACATTTTGGTTTACTTTTATGTATGTATACAGACAGCCCTATTTATGATGGTTCAGCTTAAGATGTTTTCAACTTTACAATGGTGTGAAAGCAATACACATTCAGTGGAAAGCGCACTTCGAATTTTTATCTTTTCCTCGGGTAGCGATATGCAGGACCGTTCTCTCTGGTGACGCTGGGCTCAGAGCCGCAGCTCCCACACAGCTATGTGATCATGTCGTCACAAGGGCAGCCAACCAGTACACTTGAAACCATTCTGTTTCTCACTTTCAGTACAGTATTCAGTAAGATATAACAGCTTTTCACCACTTTATAATAAAGTAGGTTTTGTGTTAGATCATCTTGCCCAACTGTGGCGTAATATAAGTGCTTTGCGTGTTTAAGGTCGGTGAGGCTAAGCTATGACGTTCGGGAGGTTAGGTGTAATAAATGCATTTCTGACTTAGCATATTTTCAGTTTAGATTGGGTTTACCAGGAAGTTACCCTTTTGTAAGTAGAGGAAGATCTGTACACACACACACGCACAGACACACACGTAGTTTTTAAAAACAAAATTTGGATCATAATTTACATGAGTTTTGTATTCTGCTTTAAAATATCTAGGGAGCATTTTCCTATTTTAAGAAACATTCTTTGAAAAATGTATCAGATGCACTGGGGGGAAAAGAAATATTCTTTTTTTTTTAATATGAAACTTCTTTCAGTTTTTTTTTTTAATGTATTTTATTTTTTTCTTTATTTTGGCTGTATTGGGTCTTCGTTGCTGCGTGCAGGCTTTCTTTAGTTGTGGCGAGCAGGGGCTACTCTTGCGGTGCGTGGGCTTCTCATTGCAGTGGCTTCTCTAGTTGTGGACCACAGGCTCTAGGTGCGCAGGCTTCAGTAGTTGTGGCTCGCGGGCTCTAGAGCACAGGCTCGGTAGTTGTGGCTCACGGGCTTAGTTGCTCTGCGGCATGTGGGACCTTCCCGGACCGGGGCTCGAACCCGTGTCCCCTGCATTGGCAGGCAGATTCTTAACCACTGCGCCACCAAGGAAGCCCAAAAGAAATATTCTTTGAATACATGGATTTTCAGTATCTGCCTAATACTTTTGCCTTTGTTGTATTCATGTGCTACACTTTAACCATTCCCCTATTGACATTTAGTTTATTTCCAGTTTGCACTGTTTGTTAGAACTCTGCTGAACATCTCTGGTTCATTAACCTTTGTCCTAATTTTCCTTAGGCTATATTTCTAAGAGTGAAATTACCACATCCCAGAGTGTGAATATTGTTCAGGCTTTCAATAAAGATTGCACCAAGTCCTCTCCTCACCAGCCCTGTTCACTACTGTCCTGATCTCTGCTTGTCACTGTCCCCCCACCGCTTAGACCCAAGGGGTAAAATGAGCTCTGGGACATCTGCTGCTCACTAACCAGCACATCCCATTTACTTCCCCACGAGTAGGAGTTCAGTTTCCCAAACCTGAGGTGATCTGTCAGCTGGAGCAGTGGGAAGAGCCGTGGATCCTGGATCTACCAAGAGCTGGGACTAGGAAGGCTTCCGGTAGTGCTTGCCCAGGTGGGTGAGGAGAAGACCCGGCCCTGTGGGGGTCACGCAGAGGGAGGGACCCCATTCACCAGACCCCTCCTGTGCCGATACGAGCCGGGTGTCTGGTGTCTCTCCTGCTCATTGTCCCTTCTGCCCCCTGCAGGTGGTGGGTATGGTCATCAGCCCCATTCCCAGGTGAAGAAACTAAGGGACTGCGATGTCTGTCACACGGCTAGTAGGTTGATAGTTGGGATTTGACATCAAGTCTGCAAAGCTCATCCTCTTTCTACTGCAGTTCAAGTGCTTCTCTGAAGCAGCCGGTCTGGTGTTTTCTGACAGCTCTCGTGCCATCCTAGATACTCCTTTTTTCTACCCTCATCACTTACCCTTTCTCTATACTTGCTCTTGTTCCCTTGCTCTCATTTTGTTTTCCAAATTCTCTCGGTGTTTACTGATGTTCCTTTTTCCTACGTACTGTGTCCTGATTGCTGCTTCTGCCCTTTTTCGCATCCCTCCCTCCACGGTTTCACAGCCTCAGCACGTTGACATTTTAGGCTGTTTAATTCTTCGCGGTGAGGGCTGTGCTGGGCCTCGTAGGATGTTTAGCAGCATCCTTGGCCTCCGCCCACTAGGTTCCAGCAACACCATCCCTGGTTGAAAACCCACTGCTCTAGTCCATTGGTTTTGTACTTATTTCTCTCTGTTTCCTTTTCTATTCTATCTTACACACTTTCTCCATTTTTAAGAAGTTGTTTCTCCCAGAATTATTAAAAACATGCTTATCTAGAAAGTACAAAATGCTACCTCTCTCCTAGTTATGTGACACTGCTGGTACTGAGAGTAAGTTGTTATCCCACTAATGGTGATGGATTTATTCAATTCTCACATTCTCTGACATATACTCTTGTGCACATTTTAGCTGGTTAGCTGATGTCAAGAGCTCTTTCTGATATGAAAGCTGTGGGTCCTATGGAAGGAAATCAGAATACTGGCCTCTGTAGTATGATGGTTTAACTAGGTGAGCACTTCTTAGCCTCGTTTGAGTCTCGTATCACAAACTTCCTGATTTCTTTCCTTTTTTTTCCTTCTATGGCTGTCAGGTCATTTATATACTTTCTTTTTTTTTGGCTAGGTCCTGAAGCCAGATTCAAGATGAAAGAGCTAACTCCAAAGCAGAACATTTCTGAAGATTTAGAGTCATGTAAGATGTCACTGGTAAAGCAGAAAATGGCCAGGAAACCCTTAGAAAAGTTACTTGAATGTAACGAATTTGTGGACATTTACCGACTTTCACTCCCTACTATTGGTGATGAATGCTGTAAGGACTTCCTTCAAAACCTTAACCTTATTCAAGATCGGAAAGCTCGGGCAAGGACAAAGCAGGGCAAATATGATGAGTATGCAAAACCCTTCCATCAGAGATCACTGCTTTTGAGGCATAAGCGAATTCTTACAAATGCGAAATCTTATGAATGCAGCGAATGTGGAAGAGCCTTCCAGCGTCAGGCAAATTTTGTTCGACATCAAAGAATTCACAGTTCAGAGGATCCCTTTGAGTGCGACATATGTGGGCAGGCCTTCAAACAGAAGTCTGCTCTGATTGTCCACAAACAGTGTCACTCACAAAAAAAGCCATATGAATGTCATGACTGTGGAAAGTGTTTCCGTCAGATGGCGTATCTTGTTGAACATAGGAGGATCCATACCAAAGAAAAACCCTATAAATGTAGCGAATGTGAAAGAACATTTAGTCAGAATTCAACCCTTATTCGACATCAGTTAATCCACAGTGGAGAGAAACCCCATAAATGCATTGAATGTGGAAAAGCCTTTGGCCGGCATTCAACCCTTATGAGCCATCGACAAATTCACAATAAACAGAACACTCACAAATGCAGTGAATGTGGTGAATCCTTTGGTCGGAATGTAGATCTCATTCAGCATCAAAGAATCCATACCAAGGAGGAATTCTTTGAATGTAGCGAATGTGGGAAAACTTTTAGTTTTAAGGCAAATCTTCATCGACATGAGGTCATTCATACTGGAGAGAGACCCTACAGATGTGACAAATGTGGAAAATCTTTCAGTTGGCGCACAAGCTTTATTAAGCATCAGGGTACTCACAGAGAGCAGATACCTATGTGATAGTAACCAGAAAAGCTACCATTTAAAGACCAGAACTTAACCACTCTTGCAAATATGTGTAACTCAATTGTTTTATGAAAATTAATAAACAGGAACTGAAATGGTTTTTCTGTGGGGACCCTCTCTTCGTAGCTAACCTTCTTGCTACAGTCAAGAATTACTTAATAGAGGACTTCCCTGGCGGTCCAGTGATTAGGAGTCTGCACTTCCAACACAGGGGGCATGAGCTCGGTCCCTGGTCAGGGAAGTAAGATCCCACATGCTCTGCAGCACAGCCAAAAAACAAAACAATAAAACTGGATTTAAATTTAAAAAAAAAAGTTACTTAATAGAAATGTCATAGGTTGTTGTGTCCAGTCTCCCTGGGTCCCTTTACCTTCATTTCCCCGAGTTAAGTCAAGGCAGATGGAAGGCATAGAAGTTTTACTCTGTGGTCCCCCAGGCTGGAGACCATCTTCTGGATCGTGAACGATTTAAGAATGCCTTTCTTGGTTTCATAATGAAAAATCACCTGAGATTATATAGACGTTTTAAAAATAAAGTAAGGGCTACCCACTAGTACTACTGAGATATTAAGAATTACCGAAATTTACCCAGAAACTAAAATTAGTGTGCTACTAGGTTCTACTGAGAGTTCAAAGTCAATGTTCAGAGCAGATGCTGTTACTGCCCTGGCCCCCTGCCCCCGGCCTTTCCCCTGCCGTGTGCTTCATCCGACTTGCACCATCTGTGTCTCCTGGGCTGCGGGCTTTTTCGAAAACCACGAAAGACCACTGCTCTGGGGGCAGCCCTCAACCACGCTTGATGGGATTTTGACGAATACCAGGTCTCCCTCTCCCCTAGGGTGGAACATCTGTGAAGCATGTGTTTCACACTGTTTTCAGAGTCTTTCCATGGGATGACGCACATTCACTCTCCGTGGTAGCTGCTTTATTAGCTGTCTGCCCTTCTCTGTGTCCCTTCTAACTCCCCTACCAGTATTTCAACACCTCTTCTCCTCACGAGTAAACTGCTGCTGTTAGACCCTCTCATGTTAATCAAATCTCTTGATTTGATTATTTTCTTGTCCTTACCAGTTCCGTGATTTCTTACCCAGCACGTAAAAACAAAGTTCTATTGGGAATGATAAGAAAGCAAGTGGCACCCCATAAAATAAAGGAAACTTCAGCTTTGCAGCAGGAAAATAATGAGTGTTAGATTATATACTGGGTTCGGTATCAGTACTTGTGTACCAAGCGGCAGGAACTGGCTGGAAGGAAAGGCTGCCAAACTCTATTTCCCCGAACAAAATTAAGAAGTCGAGGCCTCTGACAAGAGGAAATAAGCCAATGAGAGAGAATTCTTGCTCACAACCACCTCTGGAGTTGGGGACCTGTGAGAGCAGATCCAGGCTTGAGTACACAGTCTGGCTCAGACTACTGAATCTACTTTGTGTAGATGATGTACATGCTTCCAGCTTCCCAGAAAGAGAGGGTACAGCTAAGGATCCAGAGGTAACATGGAAATGCCTACCTTCAGCCACATCTGTTCCAAGGAGGAGAAAAGAGCTGCACTCTTCAATACGGCAGCCACTAGCCATATGAGCCTATTTAAATTAAAATTTTAAAAAGTTAAAAAACTTCCTCAAATCAAAAGCCACATTTCAAGATCAGCACAATTATAGAACACTCCCATCAGCCCAGGCTTGTTGGACAGCACTGCTGGAGAAACCCTAAGGACTTCTTATGGAGGAACAAGGGAGCTTGTATTTGGTGCCACTTCCTTCTCTACGACTAAATTAAATGGCCTTCCTTTCCCTTTATAAATGGCCCCTATAAAATGTTTTATTTGCTGAAAATATTTTTTTCAGTAGAATTCCTGGGACACAAAGGAGGGGAGGGGTGGAGCTGGTCTAGGAGACTTGCTGAACTAATTTGCCTTGGGAGAATGGGGTCCCCAGCTCAAGAGTGCCGGCGTGCAGGGCAGGCTTCCTGCCTTCCGCAGAGGCTAGACGGTCACCAGGCCAGGAGCACAGATCAGCGATGTCGTCGTCAGTGTATGGTCGTGTTTGTCAGTGTTTAGCAGTAGGGCAGGAGCTCCAAACTAGCCCTCCAGGGAAGGTAATGGAGAAGAAACACTCAAGTTTTGGCTTTTCTATTTAGCTAAGGGGCTGGACCCACTGTCCTCCATCCTGGCCACACAGGGGAATCATTAGCTCATACTGCAAAGGTCAGAAGAGTCTAGAATACTCCACTGGACTAGAAAAGGTGCACCTTTTTTTGACAAGACCAGTGAAGCTTTTTACACCATATTTAAATCAAGGTGAAAAATAAATAATACAAATGTTATTTCCTTCTTTAGCTAATAATGCTAAACTATAAATGAAAAAACAGACTGTGTTAAAATTCAAATGACTAAAAATAAGATATAAAAATTGTTCAGTGCTTTCATTTTCTCCTCTTTTTTACACACTTGGATTACAGTTCACTAAAATGTCACATAACATGGTCACATGACTAGTATGCAGCTCACACCTTTGACAACACCTGTGTCGGTCTAGATCTTATTCCAAGTTCACACTCAACTGTAGCTTTTATCCAGGTGGCTTCTCCTGCCAACATTTCTTAGCTGGTAGAAATGAGGAGGGGAAGCATAAAGGAAAATACTACATGAAATTCTACATTTTAGAATAAAATAGTAATAGATGACTTCCTGTCAAAATATACATTTTCAGGTAAGTTCTTAGATTTTTTTCAAGTAAATGTATGGTCAGTTATTTGTGTCATTATCACAAATGGATACTTCCCCCACTTCCATTTCCAAGTGCATATTGCCAATATAAATGACTCAGTAGTGATACTGTTATTCTGAAATAATTTCCAAATTGCAAAAATAATACAGAGAATCCTTTACACCATCTACCCACATTTACCAAATTTAACATTCTTCCAAGTCTCTCTCGGGAACTAATTTACAGCAGTTTGAATAAACTGGATCTATTTATATACAGAAACATAAATCAATCTTAAAACGGCAAATCAAGTTCCAATATGACAGAATATAATATGTCTGCATGAAATTTTAAATCCTGCAACACTACATATATTGTTTATGGATACAAGATCTTGTGGTATAAAATGGGGAAAAGAAGGACACAATTTCAGTATAGTTATTCCTTCTGATGAGGGAAAGGAATGGGAGTCTTTACAGTACATATTATTTTATTTCTTAAAATGATATGAGGGATTTCCCTGGTGGTGCAGTGGATAAGACTCTGCACTCCCAATGCAGGGGGTACGGGTTCGATACCTAGTCAGGGAACTAGATCCCACATGCATGCCACAACTAAGGAGCCCGTGTGCTGCAACTAAGGAGCTGGCAAGCCGCAACTAAGAAGCCTGTGAGCCACAACTAAGGAGCCTGCCTGCCACAACTAAGACCCAGTGCAACCAAATAAATAAATATATATATATATATTTTTAAAAAAAGATATGAAACAAATATGTTAAGAATTGATTAATCTGGTGCATATGTGAATGTTCTTTAAAATCAATCTCTATTGTCTATACTTGTCTGTATGTTAGCAATATTTTACAGTAAACTTGTCCATGTTTCTTGTGAAATAATATCATAATTCAAAAGTATCTGGGGATATATGACAGTAAATGATAATGAAAAGAACACCCATGCGTCCTCATACTAGGTAAGAAATAGATCATTTTCAGAATCACAAAAGCCTCTTATATTCTGTCCAATCTCCTCTCCCTCCCTCTTCACCAAAGGTTAACAAATATTCTGAGTTTTATGTTAATCTTTCCCTTGTATTATGTAGACGTACCACCTATCTATTTATGTCTGGATGATGTATTACTTAGTTCTGCTTTTTCAGAACTTTACATACATGGAGTCATACTCTTTCACTGCACATGTGTTTTGAGAATCATGCATCTTTCTGTGTAGCTGTGGTTCAACCACATTCACTGACAATAAGTATCCCACTGCAGGAATACAGCACAATTTATGAATCTATTCTTTTGTTGATGGGTTTTCAGGATGTTTCCAGTCTGGGGCTTTTATAAAGCAGCATGTCAACATGCCTCTTGGTTCCCTGTGAAAAAAAACTAGAAATAAGATATATACGTGTTCAACAAGTATGGCCAGGGACTTCCCTGGCGTTCCAGTGGTTAAGACTCCATGCTTCCAATGCAGGGGGCACAGGTTCGATCCTTGGTTGGGGAACTAAGATCCCACATGCCATGTGGCATGGCTAAAAAACAAGTATGGCGAACTGTTTTCCCTAATAAATGTAACAACTTACACACTCAACAGCAGATGAGAGTTTCCACTATTCTATATCTTTATCGGTACTTGATACTGACGGATTTTGAAAGATTTGATAATCTTTTGTGAAATCGTATCCAATTGTGGTTTAATGTGCTTTTCTCTTATTACTAATGTAGTTGAGCACCTTTTCATCTTCCTGGGCTGTGCTTCCCATTTTGTTTGTCTTTTCGTGATATAGTGTAGTTGAATTTATCAATTTTCTACAGTTAGTAATTTTTGAGTCTTGTTGTAGATTGCTACCAGTTTATCAAAAATTTGTTTTTCTCCTTCCTGGACACACAGCTAGACAACACTTTGCAGCTTGTATTGTTAAATGCAGCTAGGTGACCGAGTTCTAACCAGTGGACTATAGTGAAGATGATGTGTGCCACTTCTTGGCCTGGCCCATAAAGCCCTGTCACACGTCCGTGTTCTCTTCTCCCAGTTGACTAGGTTAGAAAATCCCCAAGGAGGTCTCGGAAGCCACGTCTGAAGATGCCAGGGCTGCCATCAGATTGACTGCTCAGAGGAGAGCCTTCCTGTCAGTCATGTATATCTGCCTTACACTGTTATAGGAGTAAAAAGTGAACTTATAGGGGCTTCCCTGGTGGTCCAGCGGTAAAGAATCCACCTTCCAACGCAGGGGATGCAGGTTCAAGCCCTGGTTGGGGAACTAAGATCCCACATGCCACGGGGCAACTAAGCCCATGCCACAGCGAAACAGCCCGCGTGCCGCAAACTACAGAGCCCATGCGCCCTGGAGACCTTGCGCCACAGCTAGAGAGAAGCCCGCACTACAATCAAAGATCCCACATGCCTCAACAAAGACCCCACATGCTGCAACTAAGACCCAATGCAGCCCCAAAAATAAAATAGATAAATAAAATAAATAAATATTTTAAAAATTCATTAAAAAAAGAAAAACTGCTATTGTGTTTGAGCAGCTAGACCTTTGTAGGTCTATTTGTTACAGCTGTTATCATTAAACTGACTTAATACATGTTTAAGATATTCTTCATTAAATTTGAGATTAGAACAATACCTCCTGCATTTTCTTTTCCAAAAGAACTGCAGAATTTCAACAAAGAACTGGATGGATTATTGGGCTGTAACCAAAAGCTAAGCGATATAGCCTGGCAAGTGGGGCTCGGACAATTAAAAATCATTAAAATGGGGGGCCCAATTATGATAAGCCCTTTGCTCACCAAAAAGAATCCAGCGTGGGTTCTGAAGGGGACAGGATGCCAAGACAGATGTTCTAGTCCAATCATTCAAAGTGGCAATGCAATCTCTGCTCACCAAGATGAATAGCCACGGAGGCCCCCAAGCCATGCTGTGATCATCCAATGATCCTACATCCACTGTGACACCTGCTGGGGCAACACCGCTTACCGCAGACTGTTCAGAATCCTGCCAGAAGATAAGCTTGTGAGAAGCAAGGGCTCAACCGCTCCACCTCGGCTGACTGCACCGCACCTGCCTGGTAGACAGCCCCACCCCGAACCCTCGTTAGAACAGATGCTTGCTACACTGCTGGGGTTACTGGAAGGGCACAGACCCTGCCCCTGCAGTTCCCACCCCAGAGGCCCCAGGAGCTTCCCTTTTACCTCTGTGCCATTGTCCTGGAGACTGAAGTTCCAAGCAGGAACTAGGACCTTCCAGAATAGAGCTCAGAAATTTTATAAACAAAGATGAGCTAAGACAATAGATTTAAATGACTTTATAACTCCTCTCCCAGTTCCCATCAGGTGTTCTATCACTTTGTTAACAAAAACCTAGATTTACCATTTTGCAAGGCGCTGTGCTAGGTGCTATGGGAAAACACAGATAGTGACAAGATAGTTCCCAACTGTTCTGGGCTGAATTGTGTGCCCCTCGCAAAACCCATGCACTGGAAGCCCTAACCCCCAGTGTGGCTGTATTTGGAGACAGAGCACTTAAGGAGGTGATTAAGGTTAAATAAGGTCATAAGGGTGTTATCCTCAAGGATAGGAATGGTGTCCTTATAAGAAGAGGAAAGAGACACCAGGAGTGCACAGGCACAGAGGAAAGTCCACAGTGAGAAGTCAGCCGTAGGCAAGCCCAGGAGAGGGCTCAGAGAAACCGACCCTGTGGACACCTCAGAAAATGCTAGTGTCTTGGTTTTGTCTCCAATTCCTTTCCTAATCGATCTCATCACTTAGGTTAAGTCAAAGCACAAAGCTAGGCTGGGAGTGAGTGAGGGAAACGTGGGAGTGGGCATCTGCCCACATCCTGCAGGGGGTAGTAACTACGCATCTCTAGTCCCCTACGCTACCCGCAGCCGGAAACTCTGAGTCGCGGGGCTGGTGCGGAAACGAAAAACCTGCAGACGATACAACAACCTGTAGCACAAATAGAACGAGTTCCGGAAAGCTTACCGGAACCCCGTCACGGTTCCGCCCCCCCGGAACTCCACCCCTATTGGTGTTCTCTAGGAATCCAGGAGGTCTCGCTGTCTCGGTGGTTCCTCTATAAATCTAGGGAATTTAACCTCCTCCTCAGTTGAGGAAAAAGACCAAGATTTAGCGGCACGTCCTCACTAATGGGATAGAAGTAAGGAATTGATGGGGAATCTAGCCTCCTGGGTGGAAGGTGCAGGTCACAAGTTTTGAGAGCTAGCACATGGGTGTCTCTTTCTAATTGTTCCTTCTGCAGGGAAAGGACTCCAAGCTGATGACATTGACCTGGTCGCACTCAGATGGCTCTGATACTTTTGTGAAAACAACAACAAAAAATTGATAGAATCAATCACAGTCTTCCTCCCAGCCCCAATACCGTAGCAAACATTTCTGTAGAATTCAACCAACGTGCTCTGGGCACGCATTTAGTGATGTGATTGGAATGCAGATTCTACTGTCCTGTTCCTTTTCTGCCTTTAGTCCTTTACAATATTTTAATGTTAAAAAACGATAACGAAACAGCGTCTTGAGCAAACAGATTTTGCTCCAACTTGCCGCAAAATTGAGGAAACAAAATACATGACCCTAACGTTTTGTTACCCTTTCCTTTCAGAGGTTTAGAAGGTAAGGTGATGATGGATGTGATGACTGAAAGGCAGAAAAGAACTTCACAGTCTGATGTTCAAATCATAACACTCCTCTTTTTTCTGCAACCACGAGATGTATGACCCCGGATCAGCATAGTTTTCAGCTCACTAAGAAGTTTCTGGCAATCAGAGCTGTTTTTAAATGGAAGAGGCTGCCCTGGGAAGCAACGAGCTCCCCATCAGTGGAAGGATTTCATGCAGAAACTGGATAATCAGATGCCAGGAAATGTTTTCTCCAGCTCAACAAAGTAATTATACACTTGGTGCTGCACATACCTACAACTGAATGGCGATTCCTCCATTGGGTGGGAGGAATGATCGAACCCTTTACAATTCTAAGATTCTATTACTGTATGACTTTATCATATCTTGGATCAAAACTGTCTTTCACACAAACTGACAAGAACAGCATTTCATCACTTTGTAATGTTTGATGTTTAATCATCTAAGACATAGTAGATTTTGGTGCTTAAGAGCTTAGCTTTTGGAGACAAAGTGATCTTGGTTCAAATGCTCGTTCTGCCACTTATTGGCTGTGTGACCTCGGGCAAGTGAATCAACTATTCTGAACCTCAAGTTTTTCCCAACTGTAAAATGAGGGCGCTAAGAAGTGAAACCACCTCATAATGTGAGGATTAAGTGAGGTGATCCACATAAAGCACTAAGCATGATGTTTAGAACACAGTAAATGCTCGACAGACATCAACACCAGGCTTCACTGAAGTTGTCACTCTCATTCAAGTCCTATATCACCTTTAACTCTGTAATTCTGTTCGCAGGCAACAAGAGTCTCACCAACGAGGCCCTCTGACACTCACAGGTTGCATTAAGTGGGTGGATATTTGTCCTGAGTGTGCTATTTTCTCTCTTCAAGCAATCAGTGGCTTTCAGCAAGAGCCACTTGATTCCATAATCCTTACATTATTTTTATTTTGTTCCCCAAACCTTACCCGAGTCAGTGCATCCCCTTCTACCTGAATTCCACCCCAGTTCACCAAAGTTAATGTCTCCCAATTGAATGGCCGCCACACGCCCGAAACTACCAGTGCCCTGCCCACCATCAGTGACGTGGTCCTCATTGCCTCATGGTGAGTGGCCAGCTCCACAGGGCATTCTTACAGGACTACTCATGGTGCCACACATCAGATCACATTCCCTAAAGCAGAGCCTGAGACAAGGATTCAGAGCCATGTGATTTGTTGACGGCGTGGAGGGGCTGAGGGGATGGTACAGGAGCATGGATATAGTCTAATGAAGTCTAGCCTCAGCCTGATCCACAATGGGTGCGTCTGAAGCATAAACTGCACCAATTTCCCACCTTGAGGCACGTGAATCAGCCCTTTGTACCCCCATATCAATCCGTCATTGGCTAGGGGGTGGGGAGGACAGCTAACTCCTGGATGGGGCAGCTCTGATCACCTGAGGGCAATTCCCTCAGAGTCTCCGGAGAACAGGGTGAGCTGTGAACACTTGGCAGACAAAACTCAAAGCAGCTGGGGGATGGGTATGGCAGCCTGGTAAAGGGGATCTGGACCAGGTACCAGTGTACAGCACACAAAATCAACAGGTATTTATTGGGTGTTTATTTGTAAGCCAGGCAGTCAGCAGAAGCAGGACTTCGGTGGCGCCCAGAAGCGCCTCTCCCTCTCTCTAGCAAACAGGCTCAAGTTTACCCTCTTTTCCATGTCATCATCCTTCCCCCACAACCCCTACCCAGACCTTCCCACAGGCAGGGCTCACCAGACCAGGACCTCCCTGCATCTACTAATGTTTACTTTCAAATCCAGCTGCAACTCAAGTTGAAACTCCTTCTCTATGCCATTATCCTATGGGGGAGATCTATCTCCCGGGCAACTGGGAGTTGGTACATCTACTGCTTGGACAATTCTTGATTCAACTTGGTCCAATTCCTTCTATGGACATAGCTGCCCTCATTCTTGTGGGTAACAGAATAACCAGTCCACAGTCTGGCCCGTCTTCTCTTCTCTATTCCCCTAAGGTCCCGCTCCCCTCTCCCCAGGCTGTGACTGACCAACACAGTTTCTCCTGAATTTACAAACTTAACTTCTCTTTTCTACTAGCTAACCATGATGCCAGGAGAATCAAGATAAAACAAAAAGGTAGAGTGTGTTTCATGGAGAAGTTGTAGGTTGAATAAGGCAGCGAGAACACATACCATCCAGCCTCTGAACCTCAATTTTGCCAAAATAGAAATACCTTAAGTCAATTTCTTTTGAAAAGGTTTAATACTCAAGATGAGAATGTCACCTGGAGCACTCCAGTGGCTGGCATCACATCTAGAAAAGGTTCATTGCTGAGGTACCCAAACCAAGATCATGCTGAAGGGTTCTTTCTTTCACTGTGCTCTTCCCTGAATAGATAAGCTGTCAAACAAGGCAGAAACTACAAATGAAGCTTATTCCTACTGCATTTGTGAGGCTTTTCCCACTGTCAACGTTCTGAGAGTCGCACGAAGAATGAGTGCCATCTGAAGGCTTCCCTTCGTCCACTGTATCCTTGGGTTCTCTCCTGTCTAGACTCTCAAGCTTGAAGATGCAAACGAACGCATTTCTCAGTGGAAAAGCAGCTATCTATCTGCTGTGGATGCTCCAGTGTCCTAAGTTCTAACTGAAGGATCTCAACAGATCCATAGGTTTGATGGTTAAGTTGGAGGAGATGCTTGAAGTTGTTATTATATTCGTTATAGGAGTAGGGTTTGTCTTCAGGAAGGCTTCTCTAAAATCGTGTAAGAGCTGTTCTACGATAGAAACCTCTAGACACTTAAGGTATTTATGGGATCTGTCCTCTCGTGACTTCTCAGATGTTTAAAGAGGCTACAACTCCAACTGAAACTCATTCCGCATTCTTTACATTGAAAGGGTTTCTCACCAGTATGGATCCTCTGATGTTGATTAAGATGTGCCTTCAGAGCAAAGCCTCTGCCACATTCGTTACATTGATGGGCTTTCAGGTTGGAATAGCTTTTGGGATGTTGTTTTGTGTGGGAACACTGGCCAACGCTTTCTCTACACATATCCCATTTATAGGTTTTCTCTGCGGTATGAGTTCTGTAATGCTGAATGAGCTCTGAACTGTAATGAAAGGCTTTGCCACACACATCACACTTATAAGGCTGCTCTTGCAACTCAACCTTCTTATCCTCAATCACCGTTAAGTTCCAGCTGTACGCTTCCCCGCGGATGCTATTTTGTTCATTTTTCTGGCCCATGTGGAGCACCTGGTGTTCAATGAGGCTAACATACTGAAAAAAGATTTCTCCACATTCATGACACTGATGGGATTTCTCTCTCGAGTGGAGCCTGAGATGCCCAGCAAGGTGTGAACGTCTCCCAAAGCCTTTCCCGCACTCATTACACTTAAAGGGCCTCTCCCCACTGTGCACACTCTGGTGCTGAACAAGGTGGGACCTCACTCTAAATGCTTTCCCACACAAGGGACAGGTGTAGGGCTTCTCCCCAGTGTGGACCCGCTGATGCTGAGTTAGGTGTACACGCTGATTGTAGCTTTTCCCACACTCGTCACACCTAAATGGTTTCTCCCCGGTGTGTATTCGCTGATGCTGGATAAGATGTGCACTCTGAATAAAGCTTTTCCCACATTCGTTACATTTATGCGGTCTCTCTCCGGTGGAGGACTTTTTGTGGACATACGTGACTTCGCTGAAATTCATCCTCTTTGAAGAGGGCTGTCCTAGTATCTCTTTCATGGGAATTCCCTGCTTTCTATCCAATTTGCCCTGGTGTTCATGGCCTTCTCCAAAATCTTGAACCTGAGAAACATTTCTTGGGATTATTCCTGTTGGTTCCATGTCTGCTTCTGAAAATTCTGAAATTTTCTTCTTAACATTCAATTTTGTATTCTTACTTCTTTTATCATTGCCTGAAAAGATAAAGAGGAAACACAAATGTTATCAGTTCTTTTACAGAAGAAAAATAAACTATCAGGCAAAAGAGGATAATCAAATGAAACTACGAGGTAATAGGAGTAACAAAGGCGGGGTGAAGGGTGCATGGACATGCTTGATGTTAACAGAAAAGAACCTTTCGGTGTCTGTTCAGTGAAAAGAACAAAATGAAGAGAAAGCTTACTCGGGAGGGTGGTGAGAACGACTGAGGTTAGGCGATCACAGGGGAAAGCCAGACACTTTTATTACATAGGAAAGAGAGAAGGGAATTCTGAAATGGGAGAGGAGGTAGGAAATGTGGAGTCAGGGAGACAGATGAGACAGAACAAAGATACACAAGTGGGGAGTTCCCTGGCAGTCCAGTGGTTAGGACTCCGTGCCTTCATTGCCGTGGGCCCAGGTTCAATCCCCTGTTCGGGGAACTAAGATCCTGCAAACTGCGTGGCAGCAGCCAAAACACAATTTTTTAATAAAAAATAAATTTAAAAAATGAAGATACACAAGTGAACAGTGAGAACTGATGAAAACTAGAAGAAAGGAGTATGAAGAGGATACAGAGTTGGAAGAATACCCGACTGGGAGCCAGGAAAAAAGAGAAATGAGCCAGTAGAAAATATTGTCAATACGATGCGTGACACATCAACCTTTGCTCTATGCCCTTAGCCAACACCCCAGCTTCCTTTTCCCTCCCAGGGCACCCGACACTTCTTTGGGAATGCTCCTCCCATCAGACCGTCAGCTCCACGAGGGCACGAGCAGTGTCTGTTCTGCTTCCTGCTGAATCCCAAGCACCTAGCACTGGAGGCACTCCATAAATACAGCTGGATGAGCACACAAAGTATCCCTCCCTCGATCAAAAAAATGGGGGAAGTATTAACTAGGAAACTAGGCCGAAGAACAATTACAGGGAAGATATAAAAGATCCTATTTTAAAGCAGCTGCTTCCCAGGTTCGGAGTGCTATTGGATGGATTTCCCCCAAGAGGCAGTCACCAAGGAGAATGGGATCAAACTGGCTGAGGAGACAGCTGAGCTCGACCCAGGCCATAAAGACACCATGAGCTTCATAAGCTCCTATTCCATGTTGGAATAGGTGACAGCAGCTGTTAATGTGAATGACAAGTAGCTGGGCTTGGGGATACCAAAGGCATAATTTAAAAATAAACACTTTGGCCAGTCTTCGAGTTTTCTGAAGAATATTAATAAAAGCCTTTAAGTTCACAGCACAGTTTACAGTGATCTTATCCTTACAGAAGTCATGTGAGCAGATAAAAAAATAAGTACCAGCAGGAAAATTACTCAGCCTGATTCATAACTAAATTACTGAAAATGAATACAGCAAAGAATTCTCTTCTGCTTACACAATTTGCTAACAACAACAAAAAAAGTTTGATAGTCCTGGAAGAAATTTAGTACAACTGATACTCTCATATGTGGTATAATTGTTTTAAAAAGCAATTTGGCCATATGTATCAAGAACCATAAAAATGTCCTTGACCTTTCATCCACTAGTCCCACTTCTGGGCATCTATTATAAGGAAATATTCCCAAGTAGCGAACAAGGCATAAGCACAGTTATCAGGACAAAAGAGAAAAAAAATTAGAATTTCAGCTGGGGAACAGTTGAGTAGACCATGATGTTTCTACACAATGCCGGGTTGTCAAAAATAACAAACAGGAGGGCCAAGCAACGCTGGAAAATGTGTGTGTCTAATATTTGATTGCACCCTATGAGTAGCCCTATATAAAAAAGGCTTATAAAAAAAATGGAGGCACACTAAGTAATAACAGTTCTACTAGTTAGGATGGTGGGATTATGGGTGATTTTTTTCCCCTCCCACTTTCTTTCCCCCAAACTTCCGGTACAGTTGACCCTTGAACAACACGGGTTTGAACTGCAAAGGTCCGCTCATATGCAGATATTTTTCAATAAATATGTACTACAGTCCTACACAACCCACAGTTGGTTGAATCCAAGGATGTGAAACAGCAATACGGAAGGCTGACTGTAAAGTTACATGTGGATTTTGGACTGCGAGGGGGTCAGCACCCCTAATCCCTCTGCTCTTCAAGGGTCAACCATACTATTATTACTTTAGCATTTTAAAGTAAGTGAAATAACTAAATTGGGAAAAGGGGGAAGAGGGAAGAAGCATGTAAGAGAGCCAAAGTCCTCACTTACGAAATAGAGAGTCAACAGATAATGTCTAAAATTCATGGGTCAAGCAACAGCCGTATTATTTTAAAATGTGGAATTATCAGAAGAAACAGGTAAGATTGCTGAGAGCAGCACCTCTGGGGAAAGAGAAGTTGTGGGGATGGTGGGGAGGGCATAGAGTTTTGCCAACTAATCTGACAATTAATTAAAGTACAGGTGATACAGACATAGAGAACAGGCTGGTGGTTGCCAAGGTGGAGGGGGGTGGGGGAGGGAAGGACTGGGAGGTTGGGATCAGCAGATGCAAACTATTATGTAAAGAACGGATAAATAACAAGGGCCTACTGTAGAGCACAGAGAATTATATTCAATATCCTATGATAAACCATAATGGAAGAGAATCTCAAAAAGAGAAGTATATATATGCATAACTGAATCTCGGCTGCACAGCTGTCATTAACACAACACTGTAAATCAACTATCTTCAGTAAAAAAAATAAGAATTTAAAAAACCCCATAAAGTACATGATAATAAAATAGACGGTAACTCTTTGTCCCTTCCTGCCACTGCTGCCAGGACCACCACCCATCTGTCCGATAGTTCTAAGCTGATAAGGCAATTTCTGCCTCGTTTATGCTCCGAAGACAAACTGCTCACACCTACATCTTTGGGATTTCTCTCTGAAGTGGCGCTTGAGGTGCTCGATCAGGTGGGAGTGGCGCCCGAAGCTCTTCCCGCACTCGGGGCAGCCGTAGGGCCTCTCCCCGCTGTGCACGCTGTGATGCTGGACCAGGTGTGAGCTGACACGGAAGGCCTTCCCGCACACCTGGCACTTGTAAGGCTTCTCGCCGGTGTGCACACGCTGGTGCTGGGTGAGGTGCACGCGCTGGTTATAGCTTTTCCCACACTCCCCGCACTTAAACGGTTTCTCTCCCGTGTGGATTCGCCGGTGCTGGATGAAGTTGGAGGCCTGAAGGAAAAACTTCCCGCAGTCGTTACATCGGTGCCCTCTCTCGCCGTTGGTGTTTGGCTTCCGGTTCACGTCTGTGATGGCACTGAGGTCTCTTTTCTGGGAAGGGGTCTGCCTTGATTTCCCCATGGGGGGGTTGACCTGCCACCTTTCTACCACGCTGTGAGGGTCGCTAACTCCTCCAAACTCTTGACTCGGGGGGACATTTCTTTCAGGGCTTCCTGAGGTCATCCAGGGCGATTCGGCTTCATCAGAAATCTGCTTTACTATCAGTTCCACATTGTCGTTCCTGGACTCGTAATCTGAGATAATAGAGGGAAAATGGAAACGTTAGCTTATTCCCCGCATTCAGAAATAGCGGATAATTACATGAAACCAACACGTGCAAGCAAGGCGTGACTTTGTAAAGCCATCTGCAAAATGACTTCACAATACAGGGATAGGATGAAGAACACTGAAGCAGGAAACTGAGGCAGGTTAGGGAAGACAAAGCCGGCAAGAATGGTTCAAGGGGATGCGACTGGGAGAGCAGTCATTCCATTTAATGACAATCACATCCTCTGGGTACAGTACATCCGTACAGTACCTGTTTGGGAACACCTGTGCCATGTCAACTGTTCTCAGTAAAATCTGATACTGGGTGATGCAGCTAACCCAGTCCTCACCTTCCTCTTCTTGTTTATTCATAGCCTGGAGAAGAAAGAGGATCTTTCTAGCTTTTTCAATCCCCAAAGAATCTCAGTTTGGTGTGAATTAGTCTAAAGGGGAAAAGGCGTTCTTTCTGTACCCAGAGAAGTCCTACAACTGTCGAGAGCTAGCTCACCACTCAGTGGTCATTGATGAACAGAGACATTTAAGAGGCTGCAATCGGTTCCCTGTGTAACTGGATCAGCAGCATGTATTTCACTCAAAACTCTGACATTTAATATAGTTTGCAAGGACAAACCTTCAGTAGTTAACAAAAAATAGGGAATGCTTTTTAAAGGATAGATAGATCATGGCCTACTGAGAACTTTCCAGTAAGGCTGTTTTGTAGAAAGAAAAGTAGTTTTCAAACATTACATAAAAATGGTATTAAGCACTAATGTTTGCAGAGTGTGTACTATGGACCAGGCACTATGCCTTCCAGTGCTTTTCAGTTTTATAGCATTTAATCCTTACAATGACCCTTTGAGAGAGTTACTATTACTATCCTTTTTTTGATATAGCAAGAAGTTGTAACTCTTGTACCATGAAGGCAACTTTAAATTTATTTTCTAACTATTTTTACTTAATTCTCTTCCTAAAAAGACATTTTAAGAGTGGAAACAAACATATAAACAAAAGAACTCTATCACAAAACGAAACTTTTTAGATGTTTTTTCCTCCTGCATTTAACTAGGCAAGTAATCTCAGCTATCACAGTATTTCTTTTTCTTTTATTCTCATTTACTTATGTCCACACATTTTATTCTTATTAGAGCTCTCTCCCGTTCAGCAAGGCAAATAAGCTCATGGCTTTCTTTTTCCAGGGGTGAATTTGAAAAAAATCACATGAGCTCCATGTATCTCTTTGGGACTACTCACAATCGCCCGTTTCCAGAGAAGGTGATGATACAGGTTGAGATACCAGTTGGCTTACAGGTTTTTTTTCTTCCTCTTTCCCCTCCCCTTCTCTGAGTACATGAGGAGCTTTCTGTTGATTCTCCTGATTTATGTGTATGTTTGACAGAGACTGTGTTCCTTGCTCAACACTATGCCCGGCTGCTTAGTAATGCATTGGGGGCGGGGGGGTGAGGAGGGAGTTGGTTCCAAAACACCCAATCAGCAGATTCGGTGCTTTACAAATTCACGCTTTTCAACCTCACTGGTACCCCACACTGGCATCCTACATTTCTAAGGCTGGCTAGTTTCCCACTCATTCTTCTCAGCAGCTACATCAAAACGTCTTCATCGTGATCTCCAAGATAGATCACTGTATTTAAAAATAAAGGAGTGGGGCTTCCCTGGTGGCGCAGTGGTTGGGAGTCCGCCTGCCGATGCAGGGGACGCAGGTTCGTGCCCCGGTCCGGGAAGATCCCACATGCCGCGGAGCGGCTGGGCCCGTGAGCCATGGCCGATGAGCCTGCGCGTCCGGAGCCTGTGCTCCGCAACGGGAGAGGCCACAACAGTGAGAGGCCCGCATACCACAAAAAAAATAAAAAAAATAAAAATAAAAAATAAAGGAGTGTTCTGGCACAAACTTGTCCACACACAGACTGTGTCTAGAGATGCAATCAGGAAGCTTAACTAACCGTCACTGCCTCTGTGCGGGAAACGGAGCGACTGAGGGTCGGGAGACTCACTTCTCACTTTAAACCCACTTAAACTATTCGGATAATTTTTACCACGTGCGTGCGAACCAAAGTCCTCGCTGCACTCAAACCTCTGCTCCACCACCCACTCCATCACCTGGTCACTCGCAACAGGTGACTCTGTCTCCTATTCCAGGGAGAGTCTAAACTATCCAGTCAAGACCTCCTTGGACATCCTACAACCACAAGTGTCAGCGTGCTGGCAGCCTGATTCTCCCGTCCTCCCCTTGCCTCACAGCGGAAGAGCTGACCCTCCCCCTCACCGAGGTCAAGCTTTCCTCCCGAAGGGGCCTCACCAGGCCATTCTGTTTTCCAGGGACCTCCCTGCACCAATTATCTGCTCTTCCTCACTCTAGCATTTCATACTCACTCCCCACCAGCCCTCGCCCAGTGACATTTCAGTGCGCTTAAAACTTCTCCCGTTAACAAAGACAACATACAAAACGCACCCATGCATCTACACCAGGTACGCTGTCGGTGGCCAGCCCGCTTTTGCTTCGCCTTCACAGACAATGTTCTTGAAAGTTTATCTACAATAGCTTTCTCAAATTCTCTCCTGTGCAACCTTCCAAGAAACTGTCTCTTGTTCTCCAACTTCCCAGCCACTCCATTGAAACGGCTGTCTCCACAATTCATTCACTAATTTTTAAAAATCCCACTTCTAAATTTGATGGATACTTTAAAAATCGTGACCATCTCTGATGCTGTTAGGAACCCACAGGATGAAAATTCTCAAATGTGGTCTTCCCAGAGAAGCTGAAGAGGCAGAAACCACTGAACATGTTCTTAGTGTAGAAGAGTTTACTCAAGTTGTAAAGATATTGTAAGAAAAAGATGAATAATGAGAAAAAAAAAATCAGGACTTCCCTGGCGGTCCAGTGGTTAAGACTCCGCGCTTGCACGGCAGCGGGCGCGGGTTTGATCCCTGGGCTGGGAAGTTCTGCATGCCACGTGGTGCGGCCAAAAAAAAAAAAAAAACAGAAAGTAACAATTCAAAACCCCTTGGAGAATGGTACAGAAAAACTGCGCCAAGTTCTGCAACTCTGAAACCCATTAAATACCTATAAAGTAATTGAAAAAGATAAAACAATACTAATCAACTCAAATCAGACAAGGTATTTGAAATTAATTTTAAAAGAGAATGAAAAAAATTTGCATTAAATATGATAATATTTATACTACATAAATAATTCCTTGAGACCACCACTAAAATCCCAATAGATAAACAAGCAGAGGGCATATGCAAATAAATCAAAGAAAACACAAATATACATCAACAGTAATAAAGGAAACGGAAAATTTGAGAGAGAAGTCAATTTTACTTTTTAAATAAAAGCCTGTGAGTGAACTAAACCCTTAACGATACAAACTGAGATGTTTTTCAAAAGAAATTTGGCATTAGAGTATATGTATTCCATCTAAAGTCTACTTGATAGTGATCGATAGTGATCGATAGTGTGCTTGATAGTGTGCTTGACAGTGATTCTTCCAAAAGAATTCACTCAAAAGAAGATAAAATTCATAAGCTTCAAAATGTCTGCCACAGTGCTGAGATTTTTCACAATTGCTCCAGGCAGCAGAATCAAATATTAGTTTCCAAGATCATAACTTAGAAATAGGTTCAAAATCTTATCTGGGGTGCAAAATTCAAGAAGGGATAAGACATGTAAAATGCAGATGCCAAGGCAAACATCATAAAACAAGTACCGGTGATGTGAGAATGGTAATAGAGTGAACAAGTTGCCACCCATGCGTGAGAGGAAAGGAAAAGAATGAATGCTATTGAGACACTGTAATAACTACTTCAATGAACGGTTATTCAGCAAAGTCTGAGATGCTTTCACAAATGAGAATTATTCCGTTAACAATGATTCAGTTTGTCAAGGAACAGAGTACAATCACTACTACAACTCTGTTAAGATCCAATCCTGTTAGTCTTAAGCTAAATATAACATTTGCTGGATTGCAAATACTATCCCCAAAGCATTATCAGTCCTCAATCTTACTCTTATTATGATGGAGATAATCAGAATAAGCTGAATAAGAAAAAAATAAAGAAAAAAAGAAAAAAAGAGAGAAGGGTGATTTACTCTTTCACAGACAAAAAAAAAATACGCAAAGTCACAGTGATTAAAACATACATGCTTTTACAGGATGTGCTATAAATATTCTTAATAACAAAATGAAGATGTCCTAATCCATGCAGACGAAATCATTCTTACCCATGGAAGTAATACTCCCATAATTCTCCTTCCTGTCATCCCTATAGAGGGACTTCTGGGACTGGTCCAAATGTCCCCATTCCTCCAGGATGAAGGATACAGCCACGTCAGCCACATCTTCAATTTTCACCAACTTCTGAAACACGAGATCTCCACTAAATTCCCATTCCCTAGGTTCAAATTTGGAGCGAGGGGAGGAACTGGGAGCCTTAAGGAAAGAAAAAGGGGAGGGACTGTGCTTCACAGAGGATGGGGGAGCAGAACAGAAAAAGACAGAAAAGCACAAACCCAAGATGGGCCCGGTCTCTGGTTAAAGAGACAGAACCCTGATAAAGACTCAGGCTTAAGGCAGCTACTTGTCCAAAATCAGACATGGGTCCTCAATGTGGGCACAGGGACACCGGCTCACCTGGGGCCCAGCTGAGAGAAGTGAGGCTGTCAGCTCCTGGCTGTCCTTCAGGGGAAGGGAGGGAACTTGGAGAGCAGGAAGGGCTGAGGGGGGGAGAAAAAGAGGTGTCAGTGAGAATCCCTCTACCCAGTTCCAATTGCCATCATGTTCCGCTTTTTGCTCAAGAATCCACAACGGCGCCCTGTGGCATCAAGACCAAATTCTTCTGCTCAGCCTTCAAGACACTCTACATTCTGGGCCCCCCACACCTACCCTATACTCACCCTTCCCCTGAGAAAAACTAGACTCCCTGTGTTGGTCAGGCGAATCCTGCTGCCGACTGGGGATGGTACCATTCCCCTATAGAGGATGCTCTCTGCTCTGCCCAGGTCAAACCTAGTCACCTCAAAGAACCTCCAAAGGCCCACTCTTCCGTGAAGCTGAAGCGCTGCCTAGAGCCAGGGCTTCCCAAGCTCTAATGTGCAAACAAATCCCCGGGGGTCTTGGTACAGGGCAGACTCTGCCTCAGGTGTTCCAGGGCAGCCCCCATGTTCTGCATTTCTAACAAGCTCGAAGGTGATGCTGGTGGTGCTGCAGCACTTTGGACCTCACTTTGATCAGCAAGGCCTTAGTTCACGTTCTCTCCCTTCAAAAAATGACTGCGGTTGGTTTATAGTCAGCCAACTAGCTTGTATTAAGTCTACTCTGTGTGTTCTAAGAATAGGCAGATAAAACAATTCTTGCCTTCCAAAACCTCACCGTCTGATGGGGAGAGCAGACATGGAAGCTTTACTCCTGGCACAGGGTAAAGAGTATTATCCTCAAAGTTCACCCAAGTTCCTGCAGGAACACAGAGGCAGGGGCATCTACAGAGTGGAGAGCAGGAGGTGGGAGCACCCGGAAAGCCCTTCCACAGGAAGTGACTCTGGAAGCAGGGGTGGGGTGGGATGAGGCTGGATGAGGGTGCTTTCTGGGTAGAGTGAATCACATGTGCAAGGCCCGGAGGGCCTGGTCTCTGACTTGGAGATCCAAGTCTCTGACTTGGAGATCCACCTGGTATCAACCTTTAACACGACGATTTAGACCTTTCTATGGTGTCCCCGGTCCCAGAGATGTATGTGCATTTGTAGCTTGCTTGTGTCCAAGGACTGGGAAGTAAGGAGCAAAGACCCAAAATAGAGGAGATCGTGGTTAGAAATGAAAGTTGAAAACAGACACGGGATCTGAACCCAGGAGTGTGGTTACAGTCAAAGTAAGACGTGAAAGAGAGGGATGAACATAGTCTATACACAAACAGTAATTATGTTCCAGTCATAATTGGAATAATGAGAATAATTACATTCTAAGTAATCCCACTTATTTTTTTTGAAGTTCCTGTGAAACCTGTTGTTTCTAACTTTTAAGTAAACAACTTCGGCCCTCTCAAGATCAAATGAGTCCCAGAGATGGAAAGCCAGCTCTCGGTGCCATCAGAGGCACGAAGGATGCAGCATCTTCCACGGTGTAAAACAAACCAACCCAAACCAACCCTTTTGTTGGAATAAGGAAAGTGGCCAGGGTCTGGCTAACAGGGCAGAGAAGAGAAGCACCGCTGAGGGAGCAAAGACGAGACTCTGCGCGTGAAGGAAGATGACAGTGATCAGAAGGGGACACGGTTCTGCGCTGGGAGAGCCTGGAGGTAAAGCAGGCAGCGCAGCTCAGTATGGGGTAAATGTGCAGACTTACAGCCAGACTGCCTGGGGTAACATCCCAGCTCTGCCGTGTAATAGCTTTGGGACTTTGAACAAATTATTTAACCTCTGAGGACCTCAGCTTCTTAATTTCTAATATGAGAATAACAATAATACCTAGTCCATGGGGTTACTGTGGGCATTAACCCTTGGAATGCCAGCTAGGTCTACTAGGTACAATTCTGGGTTTGGGGGTTCTCTTTTTTTGGACAGTTTCAACTATTTTTAAAGACTGGAATGACATGACTTTTATTCTTTTAGAGGTCTTCTGAAGAACAAAAAGAAAATGTTAGTATTATTAAAAAATAAAAGAAAACTCTTATTTTGTAATTTCCATACGAATCCACTGGACCTTTTTACAAATCTAGGATACATTTTGGGATCTGAATGATCTTCTATCTCCTGTACCATGAAGCACTCTTCTAGTTCATCATCCTAGGAATTATTTCATTTTTACTAATTATTCATTAATGAGTCTTAATGTTAGCACGAAAAGACTAAAATTATAAGAAAATGGGAGAATAAAAGAAATATTCAGGATCAGGCAATAGTGAAATAAACCATTGTTCTTCACTGTTCTCAAAGTATTAAATACATTCCCCAGAGTTCTGCATCATCTTCAAGAAGGTTTAAGGCTGTTGACACCTGTTTTTAGCTTTCATTGACCACAGTCGAGAATTCAGAATTTCTCACTTTCCACCCACCCATATCGACAAAGAGAAGAAAATGTGCCGTGGAAGACATTTCACTACTCGTAGGTGAATGAGAAGATGACACAGAGAGCAGTGTGCTAAAGACAGTATGAAACTGAAGGCATAGGAGAAAACTGACAGAGTCTGCCAATGACAATATCCTAGATGAATCTTCCCACACTCAAGAAACAATGATAAACACTACATTTCTAATTCCAAAAAGGAGCTATGACACCTTAACCGATCATTCAACAGGAAGGACTTCATCACGTAATATTTTGCAACAAGATTCTGGACCATCCCATCTTGCTAAAAGGACATATTCATTTTGCTAAAGGGGTGGTACTGAGTGACAGTATTCTCTCATTTTTTTATGATTTTTATATTATCAAAACATACTTGATACAAAGAGGTTTAATTCTTACTAAAGTTCCTTTAAGATTTATTTTTCATTATCTTTTGATTCTTCTGTAAGTATTCATAAAATGACTTAAAAATATTAAAAAAAAAATAGAAAGGACCCATTGGCCCCAGATGTTAAATGAAGACTGTTTTTCCTGGTACTACACTGAGGGTTAAATGAGTTCATACACGTAAAGCAGCTTAGAACAGCTCCTGACACATAGTAAACACCACATAAGTAATAGTTACTGTTACCACAGTGAAAGGAAAGCTGGAAAAGCTTAGAGCAGTGGCCAACCACTACGAGGAGCCCGGAAGAAAGGCTGGGGAGAAACAGGAAATTCGAGTTCACAATTCCTTCTCCACATTCCAAAATCCCAAAGCTTTAAATACCAAAAGTTTTTTTGTTTTTCATTAACTTGGCCATTGAACTAATTTGACAGCAAAACCTGACCAGAACTGATATGAAGCTATTTGAAGTTTTTATTTAATCCACTTACTGTAACTAGGCATACATTTCACTGCCGAAATACTAAATTAATGTGTGATTATGGGGTCACACTTCAAATCCTGATGGCAGTGCACTGTATGTAAATCAGATCCTCTTACTCAATCTGAAAAATTCTAAGTTCTAAAATGTATCTGATAGCAAGAGTTTCTGATTAGTGATATTAGACTTGTGGACATATATCATCATAAATGAGATACTCAGCTGCCCACTTTTCTTCCTTGATGTACCTCATACAGGTTAATAACAGTGAGGGCAAGAGGGAGGGAAGGAGAGAAAGAGAGAACAGACGCTCTACAGGTCCTCGTGAAGCATGGCTTAAAATCAGATTTCACATGAATGGCTGAACAGCGCGAAGTGCAGTGAGGAACTGGAGAGCTTTGTCTACCTGAGCCTTAGGACAACAAAATGAATGAGGTAGAGCTGGAAAACTGTTGCAAAACCATGATAATACTTTTGTAAAAGACTTCTGTACATCTTTTAACAGTACCTGTACTCAGAGCTGTCGTCACCTGCAGCATAGCTCTCGAAGGACACTGGTTATTGGTACGACTCCTAGCCAGCCTGCGAGCTGACCAGGGACCCAATCCCAGGCCCCCACCCTTTCCCAACCTCCAGATCCACTGACTGCGGAGAGGCTGCCCAGCCCCAGGTCTCTCTACAGATACCGCTTACCCACACGGCCAGGGAGCCCACATCCATTCCACTGAAGCCAAGATCCTCACCATTTTCCTCCCGAAGATGAGGCCTCTGCGGCTCGTGCTCAGGCTGCGGGTCCACGGGCAGGAGCTGGTGACTGAAGGACTCGGGCCCGGCTCCAGGCGGCACGACCTTCGGAGGAAGCACTTCAGCACACGCCACGACCTGACAACCACAATCACACCAATCAGCACGTTACAGGAAAGGCTACGAAGGAGCCCAGCAGGGTCACGTTACTCTTTCATTCACTCCTTGGCCAAGTATTTCATGTGCATCTACAACGAGCCAGGACTAATTACCCAACTGCTGCATAAACACGTTGTAGTTGAAGACAACTTCCAATAGACATGTCGACACACCAATAAATACACAGTTACAAACTGTGTTATATGTGCAAAAGGAGAAGAAAGTGGTGCCATGAGGCAAGACAGATGAGACCTACTTCAGACTGGGTGGCCAAGGAAGGCTCTTCTGAGGAAGTGTCACTGAAGTCAACACGTAGAAGAGGAAAGAAGCCAGCCGAGGGAAAAGTCAGGAGTGTCCCAGGCGGACAGAATGACATAAGCAAAGACCCTCAAGCAGAAAGCCAGTGTGGGCCAAGTTTAGTGAAGGGGGGAGAGAGTGAGAAACGAGCTTGGAAAGGTCAACACAGGACACAGGAAGTCACCCTCAAAGCCCCAGACGACCAGGTTCAAGTACGACAGACCAGCCACAAGAGCGGTGTGTCTCCGTCTTTCTGCCCTTTGTTCTTGCACAACCCTAGGGTACACAACCAGTCTCTAACATCTGCCTCTTCTGGAAGGTACTAGCTCAGTGCCATCCTAGCAGGTAATAAGATCCAGCTTTGAGATAGAATTGCCCTCCCCTCCCCAACCCCGCCACCGTCCCTTATGTTTCAAAGCACTTTCAGTTTTAACTCTCCCAGTAGTGGCAAAACGTGGCACAGGAGTATTACATTAAGAGGCAGAGGCAGCACAGTTGTGGCAAATATGACTCTACACAGAAGTGTGTGTGTCCTTGTGGACCTGCTCAGGACAAGAGTTAAGATGATGCCAAGTACGTCAAAGGGCTCCTGGGCAACGAAGAAGCAAAGCAGCCCTTGAGGACCCCTGAGAGTAGGACAGAGAAACCAAGGAGGAGGGGTAGAGGATAAAGCCTGGGAAAAGGCTTGCTAGAGACAAGAACTACCTGGAGATAAAGGTGAGAAACAATGCCAGGGATACAGAGGGCAGGCAGAGAGAAAGGCAAACACAGTGAGCTGTGCAGGCCCTCAGGAAAACCCCCCTCGCTGGGCCTCAGATCCCTGACCTACCATCAAGAAATGATTTCTGTGCTCCTTCCACAGATGGGGTGCATATCCCAATGACAGGGATCAATGTGTAATATCTGCTGTAAGTCATCCATTTAAAAATGCTTTCTGTTTTAAACTATGATTTTGAATATTTATTACCATAAAAAAGTAGGGAAAGGTTTGTCCGCTAATGTCCCAAAAAGGTTTAAAAAAGGAATAACCAGATGGCACCAGGAACCTTTACTTCTTGTCCTGACAGAAGCAATAGGAAGGTTCAAACACTCCGGTCTGCAAGACAATTATTCAGCTCAGCTGCAGGGTCTGGCGGCGGGTCCCCAGCAACTCCCTCTGCTGTCCTCTTGCCTCATGGAGTGAGCTAACCCAGCTGAAGAGCCTGAGGATGTTCTGGAGTATTGAAGTACCCCTGACCCAGAGGGGAAGAATAATGAGACTGGTACCTTACACTGAAGGGCAATGGCTCTGAAGAATGAGGGAAATTCTCTAACTAGCTTCAAAGTCTTGTACACCTAGGATCCCATGACTTTTGTTTCTTTGCTATAAAAAAAAAAAAAAAAATTAAAGTTTCAGAAATGTGAGCCTAGCAACAAGAGGGAGGTAGACAGAGTCAGGTGATAAATGAGTAAGAAAGGACGAGAAGACGTAACAATGTAAAGATACGGAACCTCCCTAAATTAACATCCGATTTCATGCAATCCCAGCAAAAAATACCGACAGGATTTTTGGAGTGGTAGAAGCTAAATAATTCTAAAGTTCATATGGAAAAAAAATATATTGAAAAAAAAATTTGGAAGGGGGAGGGCAGACCTATTGACCAAAACACTTTACATAACTCAATAATTGAAATACTGATATGTAAACAGACAGTAAGATCAATAAAATAGAATAAAAAGACCAGAAATGGACTCAAATACAGGTAAAAATCTGGTATGTAATCAAGATGGCATTTTAATCAGAGAAGGAAAAAAAAAGGGATTGCTGTATAAGTTGCTGGGGCAACTGGACAGACATCTGGAAAAAAAATTAAGCTATAACCACACCAAACACCCTACACCAAAATGAATTCCAGATGGATCTATCATTTCAAAGGGTAAAACAAAAACAACAACATCCATAACAAAAACGTGGGGAAGAAACGATAAGTTTCTTATAATACTCTAGTGGAGAGGGCCTTTCTAATTATGGCACAATTCCCAGAAACCATAAATTAAAAGATTTAAACTGACTGCATAAAAATAAAAAAACCCAGCAAAGCAAAAATCTCCACAAGCAAAGACTAACAACAAAGCGGGAAAATAACTCTTGCAACTCAGATGGCAGACACAGTGCTTACTTTTTCTAACAGGTTAATATAAACTGATAGGTCACAGAAAAGGGTATATACACAGCCTTCTAAAATATGTACAGTGATCAAACTCACTCATAAGAAAAAATGCATATTAAAATTGCACAGAAGTATTGCATCTTTCAGATTGACAGTAATCAAAAAGTTGGATAACATCGTGTTATCAGGCTGCAAGCAAAAAATTTCTCTCATACGTGGCTGTTGGGAATATAAGCTGGTATAACCTCTGCAGACAGCAATCTGTCAACAGCTGTCCAAACTACAAATGCAATGCGTACGGGCTCTGAGCCAACAATTTGACTTCTGAGCTTTGATTCTACAATTAATGATGTATATAAAGGATATTTATTGCAGCAAAGTCTGTTGCAGTAAAGATTCAGAAACAATCTAAAGGAACACCGTAAATGGCCTTCAACAGGAGTTAAATTATGGTGTATCCATACAATGGAACACAGTGCAGTTTCAAAGAGTGAGGCAGCTCTCTTTGCACTAACATAGAACAAGCCAGGATATACTATAAGAAAAAAAGCAAGAGGCAGAAGTGCACAATGATGTGAAAACATTTGTGTTTTTTAAAAAACAAGTCATACACATATACTCTAATATACACAGAATACAGTGTATCTCTGTAAGGATAGACAGGTATCATGGGACAATGGTTGCCTCTGGTGAGGAGAACTCTGGCGGCTGGGGAATTAGGGGTGGGAGGGACACTTACTTCTCATTATAACCTTATGTACATTTTGAATTTTGGATTATGTCACCACTCAAAAAATCAATACAGTAATTTAAAGTAGAAATAAAATCGCAGACTGTCTTCTCCAGATTAACAAACTGCATACTGCTTCTCTTTGCTGGAGTGGCAGGATATCTCCACAGTGCACCTAATCCCAGGAGAACAAAAGAATATGAATGAAGCACCAGGGCGCTCAGGATCTCACCCCTGCTCAGCAGCTCCTCAACTCTCTTCCTCTCCTTCCTCATTGCCCGAAGGTCTCCTCTTTCACTCACCTGTTGTCTGCGTTCCTCTAGTTCTCTTTCTATATTTTCTACCACGGCCACAGCCTCTTCTCCGTTTTCCGGGTGATGTTCTCTCACCCAGGTCTGGAACTCTTCAGGCAGGATGCTCAGGAACTGCTCCAGCACCAGCAGCTCCAGGATCTGCTCCTTGGTGTGCAGCTCGGGCCGCAGCCACTCACAGCAGAGCACCCGGAGCTGGCTAAGGGCCTCCCGGGGGCCTGACGCTTCATGGTACTGGAAGTGCTTGAAGCGCTGGTAGAAAGTCTCAAACACGGGCGGATTGTACTCCCTCATCCAGGTGCAATCTTCTTCTTCCACCTTCACTATCAGAAGGTCTTCTTGCTCTGGTGAAGTCTCCACGGGAGGGTCTAAGTCTATAACTTCCCCAGATCCTGTCATTATCATTCCAACTCAGAGGGATCTCTCTCCAGGTAAGCTGGGTTACACGGACCAAACTTGTTTTCTGCTCTTTGAGATCTTCTGAAGGACACTTTCCTTAGCGTGCAACCTACTGATATATTGGAAATCGTTATTAGCAAAGAGATGACAAAGAGGTCATCTATCCTAAAGATGATCACCCAACAGAGTAATTTCCTTAAAAATTACAAGACAGCCATCACTCCACCCACAAAATAATGACCAACGGAGAATATTTCCAACATTTAAAAAGTGTAAAGGAGAGCAAAAAACTCTGACATACGGCCTCATGAAATACAATTTTTGTGGTGAAGAACATTGAATTTTATGTAAATAACAAGACGAGACTTACTAACTAGTCCAGACGCAGCCGCTCCTTCTCTCTACCACAAGCCAAACTTAAGTCAGAACAGAGGTCAAAAACATTACAATGGTCAAAATTGGTCCTGTCCCTCAATCCCTAAGAGCTTGACAGACCAACGGGAAACTTCATGGGTCCCGAAGAGAGCCAAGGTTTTAAGTACAGATTTTGCACCTGGATTGCCCACAATCGCTCCTGACCCCGATCCACGGAAACCGGCCCGGTCAAGGTTAGGGACAGGACCCTCGTCTGTACACAAAGGCCATTCCCTTTCCTCAAGGCCACAGTCCCGGGGAGCTCCCCTGGAAGACCAAGCTCCCGCAGCCAAGGCTGGGAAGACGGGTTTCTTCTTACAAACAGAGAGAAAGCCGAAGCCGACACTTCGCAACACTTCTTCGCCGGAAGTAAGCAAGTCCAAGCTTTCCCTGACCGGCGGGTAGAGCCATAAATCCCACCCCCGAGAGCACTTCCGAGTCCTCTCTAGGAATCCCGGAGGTCCCCGCCTCACCGCGGGAGGAAAGTGCCCGCCCCAGGCCCCGCCCCAGAGGGGCTGTGGGCCAACCGGCGGGGAGATGAGGCGCCGGCCCGGGATCCCAGTCCAACCTCCAGTAACGCGGCCATTCCCCGCCCACCGAGCCGCAAGTACAACAACGCTAGAGCCGGGGAGAAAACCCAGCCACCCTCTTCGCCACCCAACCCCACAGCCATTTAAACAGCCCGAGCGCGTCCCTTTTCTTAGAGTGGGGGCAGGGGGCGGGGTCTTAGGTGTCCGGAGCGCTTGCTAAGACAACAGTTGCTAGTGTCTGATTGGCCGTGGAACTTGCGCTCCCTCACCCCCAACGCTCTGCGCCCCAGTTCGAAGTACGTCCGTACCTTTCTGCGAGCCTGCAACCCTCACTTCTCTTTAATGGACTCTTCGGTTTCTTCACCTGAATCCTCGCCACTCCCCTCACCCCGTCTCCAGACACACCCACCGCTTTACAACCTTCGTCAGCTCAGGCGGCCGAAACCTCTGAGGTCAGACCCGAGTCCCCAGCGGCTCCAGGGACTACATCTCCCAGGAAGCCTCGCGCGGGCCGCACCCTCCAGCCAATAGGGTGACTCTTTTCGCAGCCTCAGTCTTGCGGGCCTATCAGAATGCGGGAGAGCAGGGAGGCGTTTCCTCGGCGACCCCAGTGGAAGGCTGAGCGCGTCGGGAGAGAGTCCCCCCTCCGGGCTGGGGAGAGTAGGGGCTGGAGCTCTGCATCCTTGCAAGGTGAGAGGAGCCGTCTATTCAGGGCCTCTCTAGCCAAGGGGATCACATCCTTTTTTTTTTTTTTTTTTTAACGGCGACGTCTGTATTTATTGGGTAGAAGGGCCTGGTGCTGGGGTTTGAGGTTCATAGTAACTCCGAAGCCAACAGGTTGCAGCAAGAGGAGCCGCGAAGCACAGATTTTCACTAGAGATAAGCAACTTACCCTCTCGGGATCCCATCTTTAATAGTCTCGTTTTTGTATCCGTTTGCAAAGCTCTTCGACAGGCACAAGAGTCACTGTCTTACAAGTGATGAAGATGAATGAGGCTCACCGACTCCACTCTGAGTGGCATATATCCTTGGATACTCCAGGCGTTATTTTTTTAGCGTATGTTGTGAATTTTCACTCAAATCAGGGATGGAGTTTTGAGAATGCCTTGCTCGTGCCGTGGTCTACCTTATGGGAATGAAGAAATGCAGAAAATCCCCTACTATCTCCAGAGAGACCTGGAGACGCTTAAATTGACACTGCGGTATGTTTGGTGCAATGTAGTATCTGTATTTCCCTTTTTACATTTAGAATCGTCAAAAGTTCAGACAGAAAAAAAAAGTAAAACCAATGAATCACTGAAGTGGTAATTAGTAAAAGTTTATTGTGCACACACCAAAAAGACAGTTAGCAAACTGGGAGCATTCAAACCAAAACAAGGAATGAGGCTCAGAAGTATATTGTTTTAAAGTATCTTATATAGTGTGGAGGCAGTGACTGTTTATTCTTCACAGAGATTGGTTACAATATTAGAATTTTCTTAAATGAAAGGGAATTGGTTAGCGGTTACGTCTTATCAATTTGGGGTAACAATTTAAGTTTTGCTTATGATTTTCAGAGGCATAAGCAGAAAATACCCAGGTCACTGTAACCTGGCTTGTCTTGCAAATTAAGTACGCTAATAAGTTAAGCTTTGCTCTTATTTTTTTTTTATTTTATTTATTTTTTTATTTTGGCTGCGTTGGGTCTTCGTTGCTGTGTGCGCGCTTTCTCTAGCTGTGGCGAGCGGGGGCTGCTCTTTGTTGCGGTGCGCGGGCTTCTCATTGCGGTGGCTTCTCTTGTTGTGGAGAAAGGGCTCTAGAGCGCAGGCTCAGTAGATGTGGCGCACAGGCTTAGTTGCTCCGTGGCATGTGGGATCTTCCGGGACCAGGGCTCAAACCTGTGTCCCCTTCATTGGCAGGCGAATTCTTAACCACTTCGCCACCAGGGAAGCCCAAGCTTTGCTCTTATGAGTATAAATTTCTCTTCCTTCTTGGTACCAAGAATAGGTGGATTTCTCCTAAGCCACTATAGTAGTTCGCTTTTACCCGAGATACACTGTAAATCACGTAACTGATCTTGTTTTCTTCTTGCTTTGGCTGCTGAGGTTTCTCAAAGCCAAACTGTGGGCTACCTTTTGCCAGTAAACAGCAGTTTACAGTGGGCAATTTCTAATCCCATCTTATCCCTGGCTCCATCTTATTTATTCCTGCCCTGTTTTCCTTTTCTCACTTTCTCCCCTCACTTAATTATTTTTAAAAGATGAGGCAGCTAGCATTCTTCAATTAACTTTTTTGAACAAAGCATCAGAAAAGGCATTGGGAACAGAGAAATATGTCATTCAATGATATCAGTGAGAGCAGATGAAAGCACTTGATATTCTGCAGATGAAGGCAAAAGTTACATTACAGGAGAAAGGGAGATAAGAGCTAAGCAAATCACTATATCCTGATCAGGGTCCACAGTCACACAACCCAGAAGCAGGAACTAGTGGAGCCCGGACTGGTAATCAGCTAGTAAGGAGACCTACATCTCTCACTGGGAGGAGATGAAAAATCCTTGAACTGCCTTCATAGAACGTGATATTCTCTTCTGTATTCCGTTACTAGTTATATAGGTGGATATTGTCTGGAGCTAGATTTGCCTATACTATAAAGGGTTCTCTTATTTGTGAATTTGCATTCTGTCCAATTCCCTTGCCATCCTTGGCCACCCAACCCTACTCAAAGCCTTGTCCTGCAATACTGGGAAAAGAGCTTTTGACTTCCTGCCAGACTGTGATAGCATTCCCACACAGATGAAAAAGTAGACTTGTGCAAAGTTTCTGCCCCCAGGGATTTTCAAACCGCCTGGAGAGATCAGATGCAAACATGTGACAAGTTATGTCATTAAATTATTACATGTTGGGACTTCCCTGCTGGTCCAGTGGTTAAGACTCTGCGCTCCCAATGCAGGGGGCCTGGGTTTGATGCCTGATCAGGGAACTAGATCCTGCATGCATGCTGCAACTAAGAGCCCACATGCCGCAACTAAAAGATCCTGCAGGCCACAGCTAAAGATCCCGCAGGCCACAAAGAAGATCCCGCACGTGGCAACGAAGACCCAGAGCAGCCAAATAAATAAATATTTTAAAAGTATTACATGTTGCTCTAAATTTGTAAAATGATGAATATGAGCCTTGTGAGTAGTGAATTTTTTCTGTGTAAGTGGATGGGACATAAAAATTAATCCCCAAAAATCTGCCTTTTCCTGTTTTTTTGTCCTGTTAATGTCCAATCAAAACAGATCACAACAGACTAATACAGCCACTTACCTGCTAGAGCCTAAAGTAGGGGTTGACTGCCTGTGCTTTTGCACAAACTATGGTTAAATCATTAGTTTATAATTTAAACTTTAGTCCACAGATATGTCATATGGAATCCTGACCCTGCCTGGGACTTTGCATTCATAAATCAGGACATTAATTGTACAATACTTATTGAAATAAATGATATTTTAAATGCATTTACCATAACATAACTTAGATAATTCTTCATTTGTTAAATAATGCAGATGATTTAATGTAAATATTAAACTAATGTATAGTATCCTTCATTTCAGTTGCATGGTTTATTTTTCTGAACACTGGCACAGAAAAGAGGTGGGGTGGCAGTGTCCATGCAGATACTTAAAATGAAGTGAGGAAGAGGGAGTAAATGATAGAGCAGGGGAGTAGGACTTAGAATAGGACAAAATCCTTGGCAACCTGGATACTGTGAAGCATTGCAAGGAAGCTGGGCATAGGAAATCTAAAGTTGGAGGGGATGATACAATCTACTATGGATTTATTGCCTATAAATTTAACCCATTTTAAAATTAAAGGGACTTGCCTGGTGGCACAGTGGTTAAGAATCTGCCTGCCAATGCAGGGGACACGGGTTCGAGCCCAGGCCCAGAAAGATCCCACATGCCGCAGAGCAACTAAGCCCATGTGCCACAACTACTGAGCCTGTGCTGTATAGCCTGCAAGCCACAACTCCTGAGCCCGTGCGCTGCAACTACCCCGTGCACCTAGAGCCCGTGTTCCGCAACAAGAGAAGCCGCTGCAACGAGAATCCCACGCACCACAACAAACAGCAGCCCCCGTGCAGCAACGAAGACCCAACGCAGCCAAAAATAAATAAATTTATTTTAAAATAATAATTTTAAAAATTAAATTAAATTAAAATATGTCCTCAGTCCACATGGACTCTTTAAGCATTATCTCTTCTGTGAAGCTTAATCTCTTCTGTGAAGTCTTTCACTGTACCCTCTCCATTAGGCATGGTTGATTATTTCCACCTCTGGTTATACAAATAGACACTGCATACACCTCAAAGTACTGCATTTACCACACTGTCCTGCAAGGATTTGTTTAAGTGTCTGTCTCCCTTAGGAGACTGAACAACGGAGGACGGGGACTATGTCTTCCCAGTTTTGTGTCTGTAGTGTCAAGCACGATGCCTGGCATGTAGAAGATACTCAACAAACCTTTCTTGCATTAAATGAATACCCAGTGGATGAACGACCACTTATTGTACAGTTGGAACTTTAACTTTCCCTAAAACAAAATTTACAAAATTTTATTCACAGATAGTGTGTTAAAGAATGACATTCACTTTTAATTTTTGGCTGCGTTGGGTCCTCGTTGCTGCGCGTGGGCTTTCTTTTTAGTGGCGGTAAGTGAGGGCTACGTCTTCATTGCCGTGCACGAGCCTCTCATTGCGATGGCCTCTCGCTGCTCCGCATTCTCCCGAGGCCAGCCTCAAACTCGTGTCCCCTGCGTTGGCAAGCAGATTCCCAACCACTGCGCAACCAGGGAAGCCCGGGAAGCCCCTTCATTTTTAAAGGGAGAATA